TATTAGTAGTATCACTATTCGTCTTCGTATTATTAAGATTAGTATTAATATTCGTATCATTAGTGATATCCTTAGCATGCTTAGTAATATTATTGCTGTGTAGTATGATTATTATTATGATTGTCATCAGTACCCCTATTCTTATTAGCCTTATTACGCTTAGTCTTGTTAGTAGCATTATGATTAGTAGTGTGATTTCTCTTAGCGATTGTGTTATCATTGTTATTGTTGTTAGTATGATTCGTACTAGTCCTCTTACGAATTGTCTTACCGTTCTCATTATCTTTTGATTGTCCTTATCATTAGTCATATTGATATTAGTATAATTTGCTTATTCGTATGCTTCTTCTTGTTATTCCTCCTCCTCCTCATCCTCCTCCTCTTAAATCCTCCTCCTACTCCTCATCCGCCTCCTCCTTCTCCTCCGATGTATCCTCCGAAATCTCCTCCTCCGCATCCTCCTCCTCGTCATCATCATTATCATCAGCATCAGCATCAGCATCAGCATGATCATCATCATCATCATCATCATCATCATCATCATCATCATCATCAGCATCATCATCATCATCATCATCATCATCATCATCATCATCACCACCATAATAATCATCATCATCAGCATCATCATCGGCATCATCATCAGCAGTATCATCAGCAGCAGCATCAGCATCATCACCACCACCACCACCATCATCATCATCAGCATCATCATCATTATCGTCATCAGCGTCATCAGCGTCAGCAGTATCATCATCATCATCATCATCATCATCATCATCATCATCATAATCATCATCATCATCATCATCATCATCATCATCATCATCATCCTCATCCTCATCATCATCATCATCATCATCATCATCATCATCATCATCATCATCATCATCATCATCACCATCATCATCCGCAGCAGCAGCATCATCAGCATCACCATGATCGTCATCAGAATCAGCAGCAGCATCAGAATAATCATCATCATCATCAGCAGCACCAGCATCAGCATCATCATCACCACCACCACCATCACCGTCATTAGCAGCATCACCATCATCATCAGCATCGTCAGCATCATCATCAGCGGCATCATCTCCATCAACAATATCATCATCAGCATCATCATCAGCATCATCATCACCACCACCACCATCACCATCGCCAGCACAGACATCACCACCGCCAGTACCACCAACAACAGTATACTCATCATCGACATCATTATCCTCATCGTCGTCAGCAGCCCCAGCATACTCAAAATCAGATTCGTCATCCTCATCATCAGCAGCATCATAATCAGCATTGTCATCATCATCATCAAAATCATAGTCATAATATTCAGCATCATCATCAGCAGCAGCATCCTCATCGTCATCGTCATCATCATCACCACCATCACCATCATTACCATTATCAAAACAATCATCAAAAGCATCCGCATCATGATCCGTATCTTCATCACCACACTCGCAAGCATTATCATACCATTGTCCTCTTCCTTCTCCTCCAGCATCACCCAACTCCTCCCCCTTCTCCTCCAACCCTTCTCCCTTTAGATCACTCCTCCCTGTCGCACCACCAGACGTGTCTGTAGGGCGGGCCGTTCGGTTCGCTACAGACTCTCTCACCATGCCTGTGATCCTGCAATGTGGAATGATCGGAGCATACAACGATCGCGAATCGACCGTTTTAAACATGGGGCTTTCGCCTTGGTGCCGTGAACACTCGTCTCCAAAGCGTGCGTGAGCGATACGGGTGGAGGGCGCTTCCGTTTCAAAATTGGACTCTTGCCTGAGACACCCTCAACAGGATCACCACGATTATGAACATGTGCAAGAGCTACAATTGTGGAGGGCCGCGGAGGGTAGCCACTTTCCAAAACCAAGCTTTCGCATGAGACTTCGTTCGAGATGATCTGGTGGCTTGACATTTTTCGTTCATGAAACAGCTAGACGAGAGAGGCGATCCTGTTTCAAAGCGCAGCTGCCGCTGGGCAGTTCTTGCAATTGCGCGGTCCTAAAATTCATGACAAGTTCGCTCAAATTGATAAGATGCGACCTGCATTGCTGGCTGACGGGGCGCTCGTTCTTGAAGGGGGACACCTCGCACAGCGAGAAAAAATTATCGTAGCAACTAATGGAGAAAGGACTTAGGACGGGAGGGTGTACTGCAGAATTGCTGATACATCTTAGGCGCCCTCTGGTCCTCCTCCTCCTCCTCGGGGGCCTTCTCATATTAGCCAGCGTGGACTCCGAATCGATCAAAAGGCCGACATGAAGTGGACTAGAGTGGACCGACGCAGATTGGGTCTGGAGCGCAGACTGGACTGGACTGAAGGCGGACTCTACTCCACTCTCCTCGATTCTAGTATACCGCACCCTACCCTACCAGAACCTCCCCTACTATACCCTGCTCCACTCTGCCCGACCCTTCTCTGATCGCGGGAGCCGTGGCTCAAGCTGTCTTGGCTGCATGCTTGGCGCTCGGGCGGCCGTCCGCGGATCTGGCGCCTCGCGCCTCGCCGGAGGGGCGGCTCTCTCGGTCTGGGCTGGCGCTGGCCGGGTGGCCGCCGCGGTCCGCGCCGCGGTGCTCGCCAGAGCGCCGCGGCGCACGGTCGCCGCCGCGGCGCGCCCGGCTGTGTCCGGCGGTGGTGTTCGCCGCCTCGGCGCCGCACAGCGAGCCACCAGGTGGCGACGGCGCCGCGCAGGAGGGCAAGAAGGAGACGCCGCCGCCGCGCCGCCTGGGAGGCGGAGCTCGAGAGGCGCCGCCGCCGCGGCGGGGCGGGGCGGGGAGCAGGCCATCGAGCTCGACGAGGCTGACGGCGCGGACTCAAACCTCGATGATGAATGGGCTGATGGCGTGCGGCCCGCGGGCCCCGCTGAGGCCGGATCGGACCTGATGCTCGACGACGCGGCGCTCATGTCGGAGGCGGCTGGAGGGGATGGTGCGGGCCAGCGCCCCGCCGCCCACGGAGGCCGCGGCTGGCCGTGCCGACGCCGTGTCGGAGGAGGAGGAGGAGGAGGAGGAGGAGGAGGAGGAGGAGCGGAGGAGGAGGCGGAGGGGAGGCGGGAGGAGGGGGGAGGAGGAGGCGGAGGAGGAGGAGGAGGGAGGAGGAGGAGGAGGAGGGGGGAGGAGGAGGACGGAGGGAGGAGGGAGGAGGAGGAGGAGGTCGGCGAGGCCGCGCCCCTGACGCGGCTCCACATCTTCTCGGGCACCTTCGCTGGGCGCTCGGGGGTGCGCCTCGAGAAGGGGGCCCCCGCGGGCGCGGGTCCGCTCGGTGGCGCGGAGAGCGTGCTGGGCGCGTGGGCGTCGTGGAGCACGGCTCCTTCGAGAGGCTGCTGTCCGTTGTGCTGGGCGGCGACGGCAAGACCGCCCCCCGATCGAAGTTCGGCGTCATGTCCGACTTCTCCGGCCCCCGTTCGTGTGAAGCTCGGCCACTCCAGATTTCGTAACAAAGGGAGGGGGGTCTCATTTCGGGGGGGTCTCCTCCAGGCTATCTTGGAGGGCCTGGGGGGTCTGGGGACGATGTTTTGGAGGGTTCTCCCACGGGGGGGGTCTGAAATGGCTTGTCTTGGAGGGTCCAGACCCCCTCCCTTTTATTACGAAATCCGGAGTACGTGTCCAGCGTCTCTGGGCAGCCCGCCTGCAGGGTCAAGGCCTTCGCGGGCGCGGCTCCCTCTCGTGAGTGTCTTCGCTGTGCCGCAGTTGCTCGCGCAGTGACTCGCTCGTGCTCGGCCCTCCGCCGCGCCCACCTCGCCTTTCGGTCCTGCCAGCCCGTGCAGGCTGCAGAGGCGCAAGGCTGGAGCGCGGAGGGCCGCAGGCGTGTCACTGACGCCCCAATCGGGGGGGGGGGGGCTGAGAGTCGCCCCGTGGGTACCCTACTCTGATGTGCTCTACTCTACTCTACCATACCGTACCCTTAAGTTACTCGACCCTACTCTACCCAACCCTACTCTACTCGACGGTGCTCCTACTCTACGTTACCCTACTCGAACATACTCCTAGTCTACCCGTACTCGAATATGCTCTACCCTACCCTACTCTACTCCTACTCTACTCTACCCTATCGTACCCGACTCTACTCGACTATCTTCCCTAGTTTACTCTAAGTTACTATAACTGTACTCGTATCTGGTTTTATCGACCCCATCTCCGCTGTACTGTTTCCGACCTACCCTAATTTCCTTAACTTACTCGTCACTACTCTAATATACTCTACTCAACCTCCACTCTGTGTTCCGATACGTTACGCCTACGCTCTACTAGATTCTACCCTCATATACTCTACACTACTCCGATCTACGATAGTATGTTATACTATACTCGCCGAACTGCGTTCACGAGTGTATAATCGGCATTACGTCACAAGCAGACAAGCTCGACTGGCAGAGGGCCCGCCTCCACTGTGAGCCCACCGGGCGCCCGGCGTGCAAAGGGGGGGGGGGCGGCACGCGCAGCGTGAGAGACCTGCGTGCAGGGACGAGTGCGGGGTACGTATGGTGCACGGCAGCATCGCTGGTCCATCCTGAGCTCACTCTAGTCATCCTGACCCTCCTCTTCATCATCCTCCTCCTCCTCCTCCTCCTCCTCCTCCTCCTCCTGCTCCCCCTCCTCGTCCTCCTCCTCCTCCTCTCCTCCCCCTCCTCCTCCTCCTCCCCTCCTCTCCTCCTCCTCCCTGTTCCTCCCCCTCCTTCTCCCCCCCATCCCCTCCTCCTGTCATCCTCCTCCTCCTCCTCCTCCTCCTCGCGTGTCCTCTTCGTCCTCTCTCCTCCCTCTCCTCCTCCTCTCTCCCTCCTCTCCTCCCCTCCTCCCTCCTCATCCTCCTCCTCCTCCTCCTCCTCCTCTTCCTCCTCCCCCGGCGACGACGACGACGACGACGACGACGACGACGACGACGACGACGACGACGACGGCCACGACCCCCCAGAGAGGCGCGGGACCCACTAGCTGCACGCAGCCGACCACAAGGCTGCCAGCGGCCGCCTGAGGCCACCCGCGAGGGCGAGGGGCGACGGCGATGCTGTCGCCGTAGCCGTCGTCGTCGCCGTCGTGCTCGTCGTCATCGCCGTCGCCGTCGTCGGCGTCGTCATCGTCGCCGTCGCCGTCACCGCCGTTGCTGTCGTCGTCGTCACCGTCGTTGCCGCCGTCGTCGTCGTCGTCGTCACAGTCGTCGTCGTCGTCGTCGTCACCGTCGTTGCCGCCGTCGTCGTTGTCACAGCCGTCGTGGCCGTCGCCGTCGCCGTCGTCGGCGTCGTCGTCATCGTCGCCGTCACCGTCGCCGCCGCCGCCGTCGTCGTCGTCACCGTTGTCAGTGTCGTCGTCGTCGTCGCTGTCGTCGTCGTCACCGTCGTTGCCGCCGTCGTCGTCGTCAGTCGCCGTCGTCGTCATCGTCGTCGTCGCAGTCGCCGCCGCCGTCGTCCTCGCCGTCGCCGTCGTCGTCGTCGCCGTCGCCGTCGTCGCCGTCGTCGTGGCCGTCGCCTTCGCCGTCGTCGTCATCGTCGTCCACGTCGCCGTCGCCATCGCCGTCGCCGTCGCCGTCGTCGTCGTCGCCGTCGTCGTCGTCGCCGTCGTCGTCGTCGCCGTCGCCTTCGCCGCCGTCGCTGTCGTCGTCGTCGCCGTCGTCGTTGCCGTCGCCGTCGTCACAGTCATCGTCATGGTCGTCGCCGTCGTCGGCGTCGTCGTCGTTTCAGCCGTTGCCGCCGTCGCTGTCGTCGTCGTCACCGTCGTTGCCGCCGTCGTCGTCGTCACAGTCGTCGTCGTCGTCACAGTCGTCGCCATCGTCGTCGTCGTCGTCGCAATCGCCATCGCCGTCGTCGTCATCGCCGTCGCCGCCGCCGTCGTCGTCACCGTCGCCGTCGTCGTCGTCACCGTCGTCGTCGTCGTCGTCGTCGTCGCCATCGTCGTCTTCGTCGCCGTCGCTGTCGTCGTCGTCGTCCCCGTCGCCGTCGTCACTGTCGCCGTCGTCGTCGTCGACGTCGCCGTCGTCTTCGTCACAGTCGCCGTCGCCGTCGCCGTGGCCGTCGTCGTCGTCACAGTCGTCGTCGTCGTCGCCGTCGTCGTCGTCGTTGCCGTCGGCCTCACCGTCGTCGTCGCCATCGTTCCCGTCGTCGTCGTCGTCGTCTTCGTCTTCGTCGTGGTCGCCGCTTTCGTTCGCCGTCACCGTCGTCGTCGTCGGCGTCGTCGCCGTCGTCGTCAAAAACGCCGTCGTCGTCGTCGTCGTCGCCGTCGTCGCCGTCGCCGTCATCGTCGTGGGAGGAGGCAGAAGGGGCGAGGGGGAGGGGGCGAGGGGGAGGGGGAGGGGCGAGGAGGCAGAAGGGGCGAGGGGGAGGGGCGAGGGGGAGGGGCGACAAGCTAAATGAGCTAGCGGCATATCGGACGTCCAACCCCTCCCTCCCATCCCTTACCATTGCGTAGATCTCCTCTCCATTCGCACAACAGGATGTCGAAGAGTGCAACGATCCCGAGAGTACGCGATGCATGGCATAGCACGGCATAGCATTGCATCGCGTCGACAACGCGACTCATTTCGACTACCAAGTCAGAAGGAAACCAGAAATGACTCAGGGCGGGAAATGCATATGGACGGGTTGGAAAGCGGGAAAGCGCAGCGGGAAAACGACTTCGAAGGGCCGAAACCGCGGAAACCAGACCAGCGCTGCATGGGAGCACGATTTGGAAGTAATAGAAGCGCGGAAACGAAGCCAACGCTGCAGCAGGAACACGATTTGGAAGAGGGGAATCAATGAAATAAGGTCAGCGACACAGCAAGAACATGATTGATCTGGAAAGACAGAAAACGAAAAAAAGGGAAAATGGAGCCAACGCTGCAGCGGGAGCGCCAATCTGAAAGGACTGACAACGCTCGGAGGGGAAAAGAAGTATATCAATGATCAGTTCGGCGGCATCTGGTGTAAAAAAACAATCCGCGGAGGAGGCCAGGACACCTCGCCGCCGTCTTCGGGGGAGAGAGGAGAGTACCGGACATGTTCTGTAAGTGTGGAGGCAGAACGGGCGAGAGGAGGAGGAGGAGGAGGAGGAGGAGGAGGAGGAGGAGGAGGAGGGAGGAGGGGAGGAGGAGGAGGAGGAGAGGAGGAGGAGGAGGAGGGAGGAGGAGGAGGAGGGAGGAGGGAGGAGGGGGAGGAGGAGGGAGGGGGAGGAGGAGCCCAGGACTCCGACACTACGCTGTTTGTTCCAGGGCCGTTCTGTGAGGGCAGAGGGGCCTGTCGAGGGCCTCCGGGGCAGAAGCTTGCCCAGAAACCTCCCGTCGGGAGCGTCCGCGCAACGCGGGGAGGTAGGGAAAGGAGGAGGACGAAAATATACAGGAATCACAAAAAAACAATACAAACATGTTTCTCTGAGCTCCGCACGCTGTTCTTGGTTTGACGCTGGACCCCCCCTCCTTGGCGCGCTGAACGCGCCAGAGACGGCGCGGAAGCGCCCGCTGAACGCGCCAGGGACGGCGCGGAGGCGTCACCAGGCGAGCCCAGGCGCCCATCCAAGAAATTTGCGCGGAGCTCCGAGAAATTATGTGTATGCTGTTCGTCCCCGTTTTTGAAAGCACGGCCGCTCTGTGACGGTCCCGACGCACGGTGAGGGCTCCCAAGGGCAGAAAACTGTCAAAAAACTGCAAGCCGTGACTTTCCACAACGCGAAAATGTCAGAGCCCGGGGGTCAAAAGTCGACCCCCAGACGTGCTCTGGGGTTCGTCGTGGCCATGATTTCGAAGCCGATCCAGCCCGCGGCGACGACACCCCCTGCCCACGAGGCAGAGAAAAACGTGAAGCAACCTCAGGCCTCGAAGCTCGAGCCTCGAGGGGGAGGACGAAGAGGACGAGCCCGACCCGGTCGTTTTTTTTCCCTGGCCCTGGCCGGCGCTCAAGAAGAGCGCGCGCCGGCCCCGCGTTCCGTCGCGTTTCGGCGGCCGCCCCCTTCAGGGGGCGTGCCGCCAGCCGCCGGCCGCAGCAGGCCCCAGCCTTGTCCACCCTCGGCGTCGGCATCCCGAGACTTCCTTGCGACTCAAATATCAAGCCAGGTCAACAGAAGAGCAGACCCCCTCCCCCGCCACCGCAACAAAAAAAGGCAACAGCCACAGAACAACGACAACAAAACCGCTCACCAACAGAAGCTCACCGTCTATATAAATAAAAACACACATGACACACATGTATGTGTCTGTGCGTATGTATGTGTATGTGCCTGTGTACTTGTGTGTCTGTGTGTGTTGTGTGTTGTGCGTGCGCGCGTGGATGTGGAAACTGCGTGGTCATTGCGCTGCGGATGTGGGAGCCGCGTGGTGCACCCATGCGGTGTAAGCTACGTTGCACAAACTATGTGGTGCAAGCTGTGGTGAACGCTGTTTTGGACGAGCTTGACGAACTTGACTCCACTGCTCGCGCAATCATCCCACACGCCCACCCGAAACTTGGCTTGCACAACCCATTCGGCGGCGATTGCGATGATTGGTTGTCGCTGGAGTGCATGTTTGCGACCGCGCGCATGCTCGCGCACACACCAGACAGCTTGTTTGTTCACGGATGGGGGCTTCCCATCGCGCCTCACCAGCCCTGCGAATCGATGACTCGGGCGGGCGCACTATCATGGTGGCACCGACATCGGCGGAAACGATTATGATGATAGCGAGGAAAGGGACGATGATAAGAATGACAACGGCAAGGCCACTGACGGCGCCGATGCTGGTCACGCCGATGACGATGATGGTGTCCACGCGTCGGCGATGCAGGTTTGGGAGGGATTTGGACATGCGCGCGCGGCCGACGCGCGCGAGTGGCCCGCATGGTATTATTTGACAGGGTCGTGCCCGCCCAACAAGCGCGCGACGGCGCTCGGATGATTTTGACGCGCGAAAGGCCCGCTGTGTCGAATGTGATGGGGATGTTGGCAAACCGATAGCTCCCCTAAGAATTCGCAACAGCGCACGCACATACTTTGTTGAAGCCTCATGTTGCAAAACTACTTGCGTTATATGTATTCGAGAACTTCGAACTTCAAATCCGTATGAAACTTGCAATGTTTGCAAGAAGCTAACATGCGCTCACGACGCCGCGCGCGTGTGGACGTTGTCCCATGTTGCAAAGGGTTCTTGACTGTAGATGATGCGCGATGAACGAGTGTGCGCGCAGAGTGCTGGGATGCGGGGCGGGGCGATAAAGGGGCCCTCGTGGGATGGCACTAGCTCACATCTGAAATGCACGACGGGGCAGAACCACGCCTTGCAGCGCCCCCGGGCAAAAAAATCCGGGAGGGGTATAGAGTTTACATTCCTGGCGGGCAGCAGGCGACCCCCCGGCAGAACCTCCCCCCGCCCGGGCGGGCAACGGGCAACACCGCTAACCAGCCTCGAACTTATCCCTATCCCAAAGATGGGCGAGCAAAAGCGAGGACAATCTTAGGGATTGGCCTTCAGAAACTGAGGGGATCCTTAAGATCGGCATCGAGGTGAGGTGATGTCAAACATAGGGATATGGGGTGTGTTTCAAACTGGTAAACCTCGGCGCAAGCCCCCAAGCGCGGGGCGCGCCCACGGGGCGGACACCGGGCGCAGCCTCGCCACGCCCTCCCCCGCGCCGGGCGCCCGCGAGGCGCCGCGCCAGCTGCGCCCAGGCGACCCTCACGGATAGCGGCCGCGGTGAGGGACGACCCCCTGCGCACCCCATACGACAAGACAAGCCAAGACAAGAGCCCGCGTCGAGGCACCTACGAGGGTGCGGCAGGAGGGCGCCGGGGCTCCGGAGTGGGCGGGCCGCTCAGAAGCCGGGGTCGGGAAATGGCACACCCTACGGGGTCGAGATGTTGCCACGCCTGCCATGCCCTGACGACCGTCACGGACAGCGGCCGCGGTGAGGGACCACCCCCTCCGCACCCCCATACTTGCGCAGGACGGAGGGTTTTCCTCTTGAGGTGAAAGCGGCGATGAGGAGTTCGCGAGATAACATCGGCGCCGCCGAACGGACGGCGTCTGGACGAGCTGCGTGCAACAACCAGGAAGAGAGAGATGTATTCATATTGAGTAGGACCCGCGCTCGCGGAAAGTTGGTTGGAGTGCGCGAGATAGCGCACGGCCCATCTTGGGAAGTTGATGACCGAACGCCACGCCCCCGTGGAATCTTGACTCGGGCGGGTTCCGGGGTGCGCGGATCCGATTTCTTCTGCTCCCCCGTTTTAATCCAAAACTGTAAATTTTAACAGGGTGGAAGTCGGATCCGCCGTAAAATATAAGACTGGACGACGATCCAGAAAATCCGAAATCGGATCCGCGCGGAAGGAAATCGGATCCACCGAAGCAGAAACCAAAACCAAAATTGGATCCGCGCGAGCTTCATTAGATCCCACGACGCTTATCTCATACGCGTCCGCTCAACACTTCAAACCGCGTTCCTGGCCCAAGAGGAAGAAGAAGGAAAAAAAAAAAAAAAAAACGTCCTGGGCATGTATGGAGCCGAGAAGATGCCACGCCTGCAACGCCCAGACGACCCCCACGGATAGCAGCCGGCCGCGGTGAGGGACCCGCTCCTCCGAATCCCCGACGGGTCCAGAAAATGGCACACCTGCTACGCTCAGACGACCGTCACGGGTAGCGGCCGCGGTGAGGGACCACCCCGTCCGCAACCCCTATGGAGTTGAGAAACTGCCACGCCTGCCACGTCCTGTGATCCTGTCGCGCATAGAGGCCACGCACAGGGACAACCACCTGCGCACCCCGTATGGAATCGAGATACTGACACGCCTGCCACGTCCTGTAAGCGCGTCGTGCACAGAGGCCGCGCACAGGGACCACCCCTGCGCACCCCTTATGGAGTCGAGAATGTGCAACGCCTGCCACGTGTGCTGTGTGTGGTGTGGTGTGTGGTGTGTGTGACCAGTATCATCATCATCATCATCATCATCATCATCATCATCATCATCATCATCATCATCATCAGCATCATCATCATCAGCATCATCATCATCATCATCATCATCATCATCATCAGCATCATTCACCATCATCAATCATCATCATCATCATCATCATCATCATCATCATCATCATCATCATCATCTCTCATCATCATCATCATCACATCATCATCATCATCACCACCAACATCATCTTCATCTTCATCATCATCATCACCATCATCATCATCATCATCATCATCATCATCATCATCATCATCATCATCATCATAATCGTAATCATCATCATCAACAAGATCATGATCATCATCATCATCATCATCATCATCATCACCATCATCATCATCATCAGCAGCAGCAGTTTCATCCTCACAATCATCATCAACATCATCATCAGCAGCATCATCATCTTCGTCATCGTCATCGTCATCAACATCACCATCACCACCAGCATCATCATTATCAGTATCAGCATCAGTATCAGCATCAGAATCAGCAGCAGCATCAGTAGCATCATCATCATCATCATCATCATCATCATCATCATCATCGTCAGCATCAGCATCAGCATCATCATCAGCATCATCATTGTCATCGTCTTCGTCATCATCACCATCAGCATCAGCATCAGAATCAGCATCAGCATCATCAGCATCCGCATCAGCATCAGCATCATCACCATCATCATCATCCGCAGCATCATCGTCATCATCAGTATCAGCATCATCATTAGCATCATCAGCATCATCATCCTCATCAGCATCATCATCATCATCAGCAGCAGCAGCATCGTCATCATCGTCATCATCACCATAACCCTCTCCTTGCTCTCGTCCACCTCCTCTCCTTCCCCTCGCCCATCCCCTCTCCATGCTCCTCCTCCTCCTCCTCCTCCTCCTCCTTCTTCTCCTCCTCCTCCTCCTCCTCCTCCTCCTCCTCCTTCCTGCTCGTCCCTGTCCTGCTCGTCGTTATCGTAGTCTGCCCCCCCCCCTCCCCGTCCCCGGGTCAATCACGGCACAGGCGGCGGCGCGCAACGGGGCGCGGACTCATATCTGTGCGCAGAGGTCGGAGATGGCACGGGGAAAATGCCCCACCTCCTCGTCCTCCTCCTCGCTGGGCAAGGGGGGGGGAGGGAGCCCCGACGGCCCAGGCCGAGAAGGACCGTGTTTTTGGCTTTCGTTCTGCGTTGGCTGCCCTTCGTTCTGTCTTCGTTCTGCCTTTGCCGCGAACACACCATGTAAGCGAAAACGGTGCACAAAATCGCCAAAACACCGGTCAGCTCGAGCCGCTCCTGCGCCAGGGCCCCCGCACCCCCACCCCCTCCGAGCCACGGTCGGTCGGCCACCTGGCGGGCTCGGGGTCGGCGGCGCGCCAGGGAGAGGGGGCGGGCACGCTCAGCAGCGGGGCCCTGAGGCTCTCGACCCCATCGCTGGTGCAGTGGGAGCTCGACCACGAGAAACCTTCCGCAGGAGGCCCAAACCCTGGAACCCCTGGGCGTCCATGGACTTCTGGTGCGGGAAAGCCACGCTCTCCCTGGCAAAACCACCGAACCCCAAGAAACCCCGGGCACCCTGGAGGCAAGCGAGGGGGTTCTCGGCATGGGTCTCCACTGCATGGATTTCGCGCCGCCCTCCCGCCAGGGCGGGCCAGCCGACCGCGGCGGCTGAGCTGGGCACAGCGCGCCACAGCACGGGGGGCCTCCTGCTATAGGGGCGGGGGCAGCAGAGGAGGCACGCAAGGTGCGCTTGCCCGCCTTACGCCCTGGGCAGGGAGGAGGAAGAGGAGAAGCAGAGCGTAACAGTAGAGGAGGAGAAGGAGGAGGAGGAGGAGGAGGAGGCGGAGGAGGAGGAGAGAGGCTCCTCCTCGTCCTTGTCCTCGTCCTCCTCCTCCTCCTCCTCCTCCTCCTCCTCCTCCTCCTCCTCCTACTCCTCCTCCTCCTCACCCCTCTCATCCTCCTCCTTCCTCTCATCTCCTCTCCTCTCGCATCCCTCCGCTTCCCCTCCTCCTCCTCCATCACTCCTCCTCCTCCTCTCTCCTCCTCACTCCTCCCTCTCCTCCTCCTCCTCCTCCTCCTCTCTCCTCACTCCTCCTCCTCCTCCTCCTCCTCCTCCTCCTCCTCCTCCTCCTCCTCCTCCTCCTCCTCCTCCTCCTCCTCCTCCCCCATATCTAATGGGGGCGTCGGGGCACCGTGTCCACGTGCAGCCGCTCGCAGCACTCGGCCGGAGCGCATGCTCCCTTCAAGGAGCGCTGGGCGCCTCGGGCCCGCACATCTCGGGCCCGCAGGGCGCGCAGCTGCTACGGGACTGAAGGGGCCCTGGGACACACAAATAAATACACACTAATAAAAGATCCCCCATATTTTCCCATATTTTCTGGGTTTCTGTCTTACCCCCCACTGCCCATATGTTCCCGTATTTTCTGGAAATCGACGATTAATTGTGTCTGTGTTTTTTCTCCTCCTGAGGGGCGTGAAAACGACCACAGCCACTGCGTTTCTTTTGCTGGTTGTGGTCATTTTCGTTATGCTTGGCACCAGGGAAATTAACCAGCCTCGAACTTATCCCTATCCCTGAGATTGACACGCCAAAAGGCGATGACATTCTTAGGGATGCACCCTCAGAAACTGAGGGAATCCCTAAGATCGCCATCGTGATGAGGCGTGCCCAACATAGGGATAGGGATAGGTTTCAGGCTGGTAAGCAATGACCACAACCACTGCTTCTTTTTCGGCCGGCTGGAAGGCAGCGCAAACAAGAAGCAGTGGCTGTGGTCATTTTCCCGTCCCGCATCTGCGCTGGGGCCACGCTGCGCCAGCGCGTGGCCGACGCCCCCCACCATACGGAAGACTAGCTTTAAGTCGGGCGTGTCCCCCTACAGGGGGATTTTGGACGAAACCTTAAACATACCCCAAAGATACTCCAGACTGGTCAAAAAATCCGCCGACCCTGTCGGCGTGTGTGAGGGGCTTCGTCCGTTCGAGTCGTCATCTCCGTCATTCGTTTGTCGTCGTCTCTGTCGTCCTCTTCCCCCCCTTTCCCAGGGACCGCCTCAGCCAGTCATTCGTTTGTCGTCGTGGCTGTCGTCCTCTTCCCCTCCTTTCCCAGGCGTTGAGGAACGCCGTAATGGAGTCGAAGGGAAGCCCCTTCCCTTCGATCCCTCCCCCGCCGGGGGGGGGGTAGGGGGGGAGTCCTGGGGGGGGGTCCCGGGTGGGGGGGTCAGATACGACGCCATCCTGGGATTCCCGGAGCTCACAAGAGTTCCAAAAAGGGCCAAGTGTGGTCTCTAATATGCCCCACAGACAGTCCACGAGAGGGGAGGGGGGATGAACGAGAAGCGGAGACGAGGGGAGAGGGGAGGAAGGGAGGGGGGAGGGGACGAGGAGGACGAGGAGGGGAGGAGGAGGAGGAGGAGGAGGAGGAGGAGGAGGAGAAAGGAGGAGGTGGAGGAGGAGGACGAAGGAGGAGGAGGAGGAGGAGGAGGAGGAGGAGGAGGAGGAGGAGGAGGAGGAGGAGGAGGAGGAGGAGGAGGATCTGGGATGCGGCTTGATATTTGTTGCCTCCGCCTGGGTCTCCGGAGGCCCCCTGGAAGCCGTCGGAGGCCTCCAGGGACGTCCACAGACCTCCGGAGGCCTCCAGACACCTCTGCAGACCTCGGGGGAGTGAGGAGCAGGAGGAGGAGGAGGGCCGACGAGGCTCGAGGGGGATCGAGGCTTCTGCACGTGTCCGCCCTCGTCCTGGACGCCGTCGCCGCAGCTGGCTCCGCCTCGAAATTCTGGTCACGTGCCTCTGGATGGGAGGGCGGGCAAGGAGGCGGGAGGATTTCCGACGTCTCGGCCCTTCCTCGACCACGGCCGCCCGAGACGGCCGCCCGAGGACCCGCTCTGGGCCCCAGGACCTGCAGAGAACCAGCTCGGGGGCGACGCGCCAGCCCCAGATCCAGAGGCCCTGGGGGGGGGGGAGGGGGGAAGACTCGAGACTGAGGGGGCAGGAGGGAAGGGACGGTTTCAAAGGTTCCTGCCTCGTCTGGGCCTCCTGGAGGGCGGGTCGGAACGTGCCCGCGCAGGGCAGGACGGATGAGAAGGAGGAGGGAGGAGGAGAAGGAGGAGGAGGAGGAGGAGGAGGAGGAGGCAGAAGGAGGGAGGAGGCAGAGGAGGGAGAGGAGGGAGGAGGGGGAGGAGGGGAAGAGGAGAGCACCAGATGCGTACCTTCTCTGCCTCCCCCGCTAAGCATGACTCAAAAATAGAATGCAAAACGGCATCGCTGCCAACCAGGTCTCAGTACAGTGAGCGCGCCCGCGTCGTCCCCGAACGGCTGCGGGCTGTCGAGGCCTCAACCCGACGCCTCCGCGTTCAAAGTGGTTCCAGCCCCCCCCTCTTCCTAACAAGGGAGAAACGTTAGGGGTGGGACCGGCTCAGGGGGGGAACATCGCCCTGGAATCGGCGATATATCGCCGATGCATCGGCGACAGGCCCCCGGTAGCGAATCCGCACGCTCCCAGGCGGGGTGGGGCTTCCTGGCCCCTGTCAGCGAGGAGTAGGCGATCGGGCCCCCTGAGCCTCTCCCCCACTAAAACGTTGCCCCTTCCCAAGGCGAGATCAGGATACAGGCCCGGACGCATCGGGGCTCTCTGAGAGCCGCGGCCTGCTTCCGGAGTGCGCTTCGAGGCTCTCTGGCGTGGGTCGCATGGCTTCACGCATCACGCCCCGCGATGCGCGGCACGCGGCTACCTGCGCGCCAGCGCGCCCTCGCGCCGCCCTCCCAGGGAAGGGCAGCTGATCTGGCCCGGGCCGCGATGCGCGCGGAGCGCGGTTGCCTTCGCGCGTTCCGGGGGGAGGACCTAGCCTTCTCCCTCCTCCTCCTCCTTCTTCCCCTCCTCCCTCCTCCTCCCTCCTCCTGCTTCCTCCTCCTCCTCCCTCCTCCTCCCTCTTCCTCGTCTCCTCCTCCTCCTCCTCCTCCTCCCCCTCCTCCTCCTCTCCTCCTCCTCTCCTCTCCCTCCTCCTCCACCTCCTCCTCCTCCTCCGCCTCCTCCCTCCTCCTCCTCCCTCCTCCTCTCCTACCTCCTCTCCTCCTCCTCCTCCCCCTCCTCCTCCTCCTCCCCTCTCCTCCTCCTCCTCCTCCTCCTCTCATCTCTCCTGCCTCCTCCCTCTTCCCTCCTCCCTCTGCCCTCCTCCATCCTCACCCCTCCTCCGCCTTCTCCTCCCCAAGTTCCTGACAGATCTCTGGCAGGCTCGCGTCCGCGGCAGGCGATATCCCCACCACTGCCCCCCGTTGATCCCGCCAGCCCTGTGGGCTCTGGCGGCTCGGGGCGCTTCCCCTTCCGAGCCCCGTCTCAGCCGGTCGGGGAAGGGCTCACCCCTGCCATCGCTCCGACGTCCATTCCTCGTGCATGTTATGGTTCCGTGCGCTTTGTTTCCACAAGATGACCCATGATGCTCCTCGACGATCTTCGCCGAGAGAAAAAAACACCGTGTCCGAGCGATGCCAAGCCTCCCCTTGCTCCACGCCGGATGGCTTCCCCCTGTGGCCCTGCGAAGCCTTGAGGCCGTTCTGGCGCCAAGGGCACTGTTGGCCTTTTCGGGGTTTGAACGGTCTTGGACCCCTCCTGGGGCCCTCCTGAGGCTCTCTTGGGGTCCTCGTGGGAGCCTCTGGGGCCGTCTTGGGCCCCTTCTGGACCCGTCTTGGGGTTCTCTTAGGGCCCTCTGGAGGCCATCTTAAATCCCCAAGAGCCCTTCTTGAACAAAAGACGTCAAGCATCAAAACATTGATGTCACTATGGTCTTTGAAAGACCGTACCCTGTTGGGAGCCCTCTTCGCGGCGTCGTTGGGCCATCTTGGGACGACCTGGAAGCTGTATTGGCGTGTCTTCTAAGGTACTGTCTCCTCTTGCCCTGTCTTGTCCTGTCAGGTCTGGTCTGGTCTTATCTTACCTGGCCGTCTGGGGCCATCTTTGCGGCATCTTGGGGCGTCCTGGAGTCCACCCCACTCTGGCTTCGTGGTCGCCCGTCGGCTGGGGGGGGGCTCGCCCGCCTTGGTAAGGGAAGCCCACATCGCGACACCTCCCTGCTGAGGCTCAGACTTCGAGGGATGCCCGCGGCCACGTGAAGCCTAGCGGCGGTGTCTGACACCCACGCGAAGAGAAGACCTGCAGGGAAAGGGTTCGCAAGTGGTCGAAGAATCCCCTCGGCACGCCCCTCGCCACCCCCCTGCCCCATCACTGCACGTCGCGGCATGCCCCTCCCCGCCCCCCACAGCACCATCCCCCTCTGCTTCTACCCCCTATCGGCCTTGCCCTCGCGCTCCCCCTCCTCCTCCTCCCCCTCCTCCTCTTCCTCCTCATCCTCCTCCTCCGCCCTCCTCCTCCTCCTCCTCCTCCTCCTCCTCCTCCCCTCCTCCTCCCCCATCCCTCCTCTTCCTCCTCCTCCTCCTCCGCCTGCTCCTGCTCATCCTTCGCTTCTCTCCTCCTCATCCTCATCTCTCCCTCCTCCTCATCCTCCTCCTCCTCCTCCTCCTCCTCCTCCTCCTCCTCCTCATCATCATCATCATCATCATCATCATCATCATCATCATCATCATCATCATCATCACCCTGTTCGCCTCCTTCTCATCTTTCATCGTATGATCATTATGGCTGTGCTTATTAATATTGTATGTATGCCAAGACTAGTATCACGAGTGGAGTTTGTTTTCTTATGTTCCGTTGGATGACTCTTCTCAGTTAAAGCATAAACGAGTAGTAACAACAATGATGATAATAATACTAATAATAAAAATCGAAATGGGAAGAAGGATAATCGCAGTGTTCGTGTTTTCGTGATTGCATGTATCATTCACGAAGACGAAGAAGAATCGCGTTGGTCGTGCTTTCGTTGTTGTCTTTATTATGATCCTCCTCCTCCTCCTCCTCATCATCATCATCATCCTCCTCATTCTCCTCTTCCATTTGTTCCTCCTCCCACCTACCCTTGCCCTTCCCTCCTCCTGCCCTTCCCTCCTGCCCTTCCGTCCCACCAGCGCTACCCCCACCCCCTCGCACTCCCAAGACACCTGGCGCCAACACTTTCTCGTGACACATCCAAACGACCGGGCTTCCTTTCCGGGGTCGCTCGTTCGTGGTCGCAAGGACCAGGCTGGGCCTGCCCTGCGATGAGGGTCTGGGTGAACCCCTCCAAGATCGATCCCCACGTCGGCCCTGGGGACAAGGAAGGAGGAGGACAAGGAAGGAGGAGGATGAGGACGAGGAAGAGGAGAAAGGGCGAGGAAAGAGGAGGAGGTTGACAAAGACAAGGGAGCTTCAAGCCGATCTGGCCGTGGCGACGGTGCGCTTCTCTGAGGCCCAAAAGGCCCCAAAAAGAAGTCCAAAAAACTGCGGAGTTCCTCGCCCAGACAGTTCCCTGGTAAGGCGTCGGGTTGCGCAGAACAGGAGGTCCTAGCTGGCCTCGGCAGGCCCTCCCCCAGGGCGACTTCAACACCCCAACCCTGGGGGGCAGAGCGCCCCAGCCAGAGGCGGCGCCAGGGTGTTGAAACCACCCTTGGCTACTCGGGCGGCCGATGGAGGCCAGCCGAGGCTACCTGGGGGGGTCTGTGCGCAATCCGAAGCCTTACCACAATGCCCCCCCGCCCAGCCACCCCATCCAAACATCCACCCGCCAAGGCCCGCCGCAAAATGCACTCTCGGTGGTGTGGCGGCCCAGACCTTGCAGCGGAGGGGGCCAAGAACAGGGCGCCCCGTTGCGGAGAGGCCCGTTGCCCCGATCGGTATCCGTCGGCACTTCACGGCCTCGCGCGGGCGCCGCTGGGCCAGCCGCCGCTGGGGCCTCACCAGTCGGTGAAGGGGTCCTCTGCGAGGACAGCTCGTCGTCGTCGTCGCCATGGCCGCCGTCGGGGAGCGAGGCTCGAAGCTCGAGGTGCCGCTGGGGCCTGGTCGAAAAAGGGATCCTCTGCGAGGGCAGCACGTCGTCGTAGTCGTCGCCGATGTCGTCAACAATCGAGGCTCGAAGCACGAGGTGCCGCCGGGGCTTGACCAACTCGACAAAAGAGGCCCTCTGCGAACACAACCCGTCGTCGCCGTCGTCGCCATCGTCGTCGGGGATTGTCGCTCCGACACTCGAGGATCGAGGAGGCAGAGGTGGACGTAGTCGTCGCCGCCGCCGTTGCCCCTTCGTTGTCGTCGTCGTCATCGTCGTCGTCGGCGCCGTCGCCGTGACCGTAACCATCGCTGCGACCGTGACCGTAACCGTCGCCGCCACCGCCACCGTCGCCGTCCGGCGCCTCCTGAGAATACAGCAGGATTTTTGAACGAGAAAGTATTAGTGCTTGAACCAGATGTCGCGCGCAATAAATACCCTGACGGATGATCGAATTCAGATGGCGCCCTTCTAAGTGCATCGTCCTACTCACCCAATCGTAACGCTAGAATCAAACAGTCCACTCGGCTGGTAAGCCGAATGTGGAGGCGGGCGAGGTATACACACAAATGCGACTGGGTAACTTATGCGTGAAGCATGTCGGCATAGATGCGACACCAGAACCTCACCCCAGCAAAACAAGTCGAACAGTGGAGCGAGTGTAAGAATAACTGGTGCGAGAAGTAAGCGACGATGGTTTGGGCGTAAGCGCGCAGGGTACTCCGAACACGCGATGCATTTTTTGAAGTGTCGCGAAGCACCAGCACTAACCTTCTACTCTACTCTCTCTGTCTCCAACACCAAACCCAATACTGAACAGCCTCCACCTCCAACAACACACCCAATACTCAACAGCCTCCGTCTCCAACACCACGCCCGATACCCAACAGGCAACCTCCCCGAGCCTCCGTCTCCAACACCACACCCAATGCTCAACAGCCTCAATCGCCAGCGCCACACCGAATACTCAACAGGCATCCTCCCCAAGCTGACCTTGAAACTAACCTTCTACTCTACTCCCTCCGTCTCCAGCGCCACACCCAATACTCAACAGCCTCCGTATCCAACACCACACCCAATACTCAACAGCCTCCGTCTCCAGCACCCAATACTCAACAGGCACCCTCCCTAAGCTGAACTTGAAAATAACCTTCTACTCTACTCCATCCGTCTCCAACACCACACCCGATATTTTATCTCCAACAACACACCCAATGCTCAACAGGCACCTTCACTCAGCTGAACTCAAAAATTATGCTGGCGAAAATCCCAACCATATGCAGTTGTGGGTACCGTGATTGTGAATATCTGCTTCGGTGAAGCTCCCTATGGGGCCACGAAGCGCTGCACTGGGCGGGGGGGAACGCTGTACTGTGTGGGTGGTGTGCCGAATTGGGTTTCCGGGACGCATGCGGACGGTCCCACTGAGGGCTTCGGTGGAGCTCCCTATGGGGCCACGAAGCGCTCTACTGAGTGAGTGAACATGCCAAATTGGGTTTCCGGGACGCATGCGGGCGGTCCCACTGGGGGCTTCGGTGGAGCCCCCTATGGGGCCACGAAACGCCGCACTGCGCGGGTGAAAACCAAATTACATTTCCCGGACGCATACGGACGGTGGCACTGGGGCCTTGGGTGGAGCCCCCCATGGGGCCACGAAACGCTGCACTGGGTGGGTGAAAATGCCAAGTTGGGCTTCTGGGACGCATGCGGACGAGGGCACAGGGGCCTTCGGTGGAGCTCGCTATGGGGCTACGAAACGCTGTACTGGGTGTGCGGGACGCATGCGGACGGTAGCGCTGGGACCTTCGGTGGGGCTCCCTATGGGGCCACGAAACGCTGTACTGGGCGTGCGGGACGCACGCAAACGGTAGCACTGGGACCTTCGGTGGGGCTCCCTATGGGGCCACGAAACGCTGTACTGGGTGGGTGAAACGCAGGGAGGAGGGGGAGGAGGGCCATGAAACGCTGTACTGGGTGTGCGGGACGCATGCGGACGGTAGCGCTGGGACGACCTTCGGTTGGGCTCCCTATGGGGCCACGACTGTACTGGGCGTGCGGGACGCATGCAAACGGTAGCACTGGGACCTTCAATGAAGCTCCCTATGGGGCCACGAAACGCTGTACTGGGTGGGCGAAACGCAGGGAGGAGGGGGAGGAGGGCCACGACACGCTGTACTGGGTGTGCGGGACGCATGCGGACGGTAGCACTCTGACCTTCGGTGGGGCTAGCACTCTGACCTTCGGTGGGGCTCCCTATGGGACCACGAAACGCTGTACGCTGTATTGGGTGGGTGGGTGAAACGCCGAGAGGAGGGGAAGGAGAGCCACGAAACGCTGTACGGGGTGTGCGGGACGCATGCGGACGGTAGCACTGGGACCTTCGGTGGAGCTCCCTATGGGGCCACGAAGCGCTGTACTGGGTGTGCGGGACGCATGCGGACGGTAGCACTGGGACCTTTGGTGGGGCTCCCTATGGGGCCACGAAACGCTATACTGGGTGTGCGGGACGCATGCGGACGGTAGCTCTGGGGACCTTTGGTGGGGCTCCCTATGGGGCACGAAACGCTGTACTGGGTGGGTTGAAACGCAAATTGAGGAGGGGGAGAGTGGCCATGAACGCTGTACTGGGTGGCGGGACGCCATGCGTACGTAGCACTGGGACTTCGGTGGAGCTCCCTATTGGCCACGAAACGCTGTACTGGGTGTGCGGGACGCATGCGGACGGTAGCACTGGGACCTCGGTTGGGCCTCCCTACGGGGCACGCAACGCTGTACTTGGTGGGTGAAAACGCCAGGGAAGGTAGGGGGGAGGAGGGCCATGAAACGCTGTACTGGGTGTGCGGGACGCATGCGGACGGTAGCAAGGAGGAGGGGGCAGAGGAGGAGGGGAGAACGCGGGGACCGTTCTTCAAAACGAGGACCCAACACCACAGCATGGTTGGGAAAAACTGTCTACTCTACGCCCTCTGTCTCCAGCACCACATCCAATACCCAACAGCCTCCGCCTCCAAACCACACCCGATACCCAACAGCCTCCGTCTCCAACACCACACCCAATATTCAACAGGCACCCTCCCCAAGCTGACCTTCAAAATGCCCGTCTACTCTCCAGCCTCCGTCTCCAACACCACACCCAATACTGAACAGCCTCCGTCTCCAATAACACACCCGATACTCGACAGGCCCCTGTCTCCAACACCACACCCAACACTCAACAAGCATCCCCCCGAGCTGAACTTGAAACTAACCTTCTACTCTACTCCCTCCGTCTTCACCACCACACCCAATACTCAACGGCCTCCGTCACCAACACCGCGCCAAACACTCAACAGCCTCCGTCTCCACCACAACACCCGATACTACCGTTTCCACCACCACACCCGATACTCAACAGTCTCCACCTCCAACAACACACCCAATACTCAACAGCCTCCGTCTCCAACACCACGCCCAATACCAAACAGGCAAGCTCCCTGAGCTAAAATGTAAAACAGCCTTCTACTCCACTCCCTCCGTCTCCAACACCACACCCAATTCTCAACAGCCTCCATCGCCAGCGCCACACCGAATACTCAACAAGCATCCTCCCCAAGCTGACCTTGAAACTAACCTTCTACTCTACTCCCTCCGTCTCCAGCGCCACATCCAATACTCAACAGCCTCCGTATCCAACACCACACCCAATACTCAACAGCCTCCGTCTCCAACACCACACCCAATACTCAACAGGCACCCTCCCCAAGCTGAACTTGAAAATAACCTTATACTCTACTCCATCTGTCTCCAACACCACACCCGATATTTGACATCCTTTATCTCCAACAACACACCCACTACTCAACAGGCACCGTCACTCAGCTGAACTCAAAATTATCCGGGCGAAGGTCCCAACCATATGCAGTTGTGGGTACCGTGATTGTGAATATCTGCTTCGGTGAAGCTCCCTATGGGGCCACGAAGCGCTGCACTGGGCGGGGGGGAACGCTGTACTGTGTGGGTGGTGTGCCGAATTGGGCTTCCAGGACGCATGCGGACGGTCCCACTGAGGGCTTCGGTGGAGCTCCCTATGGGGCCACGAAGCGCTCTACTGAGTGAGCGAAAATGCCAAATTGGGTTTCCGGGACGCATGCGGACGGTCCCACTGGGGCCTTCGGTGGAGCTCCCAATGGGGCCACGAAACGCTGCACTGCGCGGGTGAAAATGCCAAATTACATTTCCCGGACGCATGCGGACGGTGGCACTGGGGCCTTGGGTGGAGCCTCCTAGGGGGCCACGAAACGCTGCACTGGGTGCGTGAAAATGCCAAATTGAGCTTCCGGGGCGCATGCGGACGGGGGCACTGGGGCCTTCGGTGGAGCTCCCTATGGGGCCACGAAACGCTGTACTGGGTGTGGGACGCATGCGGACGGTAGCGCTGGGACCTTCGGTGGGGCTCCCTATGGGGGCCACGAAGCGCTGTACTGGGCGTGCGGGACGCATGCGGACGGTAGCACTGGGACCTTCGGTGGGGCTCCCTATGGGGCCACGAAGCGCTGTACTGGGTGGGTGAAACGCAGGGAGGAGGGGGAGGAGGGCCTGAAACGCTTGTACTGGGTGCGCGACCGCATGCGTGACGGCAGCACTGGGACCTTCGGTGAGCTCCCCATGGGGCCACGAACGCTGTACTGGGGTGTAGAAGGACGCATGCTGGAACGGTAGCACTGGGACGCTAGAAACGCTGTAGCGGTGTCGGGACGCATGGCGGGAGGGACGGTAGCACTGGACTTTCGGTGGAGCTCCCTATGGGGCCACGAAACGCTGTACTGGGTGTGCGAGACGCATGCGGACGGTAGCACTGGGACCTTCAATGAAGCTCCCTATGGGGCCACGAAACGCTGTACTGGGTGGGTGAAACGCATGAAGGAGGGGGAGGAAGGCCACGAAACGCTGTACTGGGTGTGCGGGACGCATGCGGACGGTAGCACTGAACCTTCGGTGGAGCTCCCCATGGGGTCACGAAACGCCGTACTAGGCGTGCGGGACGCATGCGGACGGTAGCACTGGGACCTTCGGTGGGGCTCCCTATGGGGCCACGAAACGCTGTACTGAGTGGGTGAAACGCAGGGAGGAGGGGGAGGAGGGCCACGAAACGCTGTATTGGGTGTGCGGGACGCATGCGGACGGTAGCACTGGGACCATCGGTAGAGCTCCCTATGGGGCCACGAAGCGCTGTACTGGGTGTGCGGGACGCATGCGGACGGTGGAGAGGAGGAGGGGGCAGAGGAGGAGGGGAGAACGCGGGGACCGCTTCTTCAAAACGAGGACCCAACACCACAGGATGGTTGGGAAAACTGTCTACTCTACCCCCTCTGTCTCCAGCACCACATCCAATACCCAACAGCCTCCGCCTCCAAACCACACCCGATACCCAACAGCCTCCGTCTCCAACACCACACCCAATATTCAACAGGCACCCTCCCCAAGCTGACCTTTAAATTGCCCTTCTACTCTCCAGCCTCCGTCTCCAACACCACACCCAATACTGAACAGCCTCCGTCTCCAATAACACACCCGATACTCAACAGGCCCCTGTCTCCACCACCACACCCAATACTCAACAAGCATCTTCTACTCTACTCCCTCCGTCTTCACTACCACACCCAATACTCAACGGCCTCCGTCATCAACACCGCGCCAAACGCTCAGCAACCTCGGTCTCCACCACAACACCCGATACTACGCAACTTCCGTTTCCACCACCACACCCGATACTCAACAGCCTCCACCTCCAACGCCACACCGTCTCCGCACGTACCTGAACCGCCCCTTTCCTCTGGCCATCTTCCACAAGGAAAGGGGTGGTCATGGTGCATGCGGAGACCCACACACACAGATGCTTCATGTATATATAATATTCTCTCTCTCTCTCTCTCTCACACACACAAACACCCATATTCGAATAGACATACCTACGCGCGCGCGCGCGCGCATGCACGCACACGTACACAACGCAAAACACGGGGGACGCGACGGAGGAGAACCACAGAGAAAAAAAAAGGGGGGCACGCCAGGGGAGACGGCTCCCTGGGCGCCCCCTCCGCGAGCGAGCGGGCGACGCGACCGCGCGAGGACGGCGGCCGCCCGCACGACGCGGGGGCTCCCCGGCGGCCCTCGGAGGCCATCGAGCGGCTCCGTCGGGTGCCGGTCCTGCGGGGGGCCCTCGGAGGTCCTCGCGGCGCCTCGGGCGCCCCCCGCGGTCGTCGGAGGGGTCGGCGGGCCCTCGGGGGGGGGGGGGGCCTCGCAGAGCCTCTCGGGGGTGCTCGCGGCGGCCCCTTTTTCGCCGGAGATCTGCTGCGGACTGCCCGGGAGATCCCCGGGTGTCCCTGGATGGCTCCCTGGAGCTGGCTGGGCTTGCCTGGACTGGCCTCGACTCATACGGCCTGAACTCCGCAGGTAGGGTTGGCGACGAGTCGTCAAGCCCTCGGGCACCTGCGGTCAGGAGCTTCGGCACGGCGTGTCGCGGCGGCGGCCCTGGCGGCACGCCGAGCCCTGCGAGCGGATGGCGTGTCGCTCCGCTGGCGGGGCGGGAAGCTGGAGCACCTCGGGGCGCTGGCGCTCACGAACCAGCGCGTGCCGAGCGTGCCGTGCCGAAGCGTGGTGAGCCAGAAGCGGCGGAGCGACGCTCTGGGCCACAACTCCTGGCCGTAGCTGGCCTGATCTCCGCAGGTCGATTGGCGAGAAGTCGCCAAGCAATAACAGTCAGCCCGCACAGCAAGGATGGGCGACTCTCCAAGGTTACCCCTTGCATCCTTCCCCCTCGGCCCACCCTTGGCCGCTTTCGCTGGCCGCGTCCCGCTCGCAGAGTGTCGACGTGGCCTTCCAAGGCCCTGGCGTCCTTATCGCGCGTCCATAGTATACGGGTTGCTTGTAGGTGCCTAGCGTTGCCCCTCCCCGCGCGCCCGAGGTCCTGGGCAGGGGGGACCTCGGGCGGCGTGGCGTCGTTGGAGTCCGGGATGTCCTGGCGCGGCGCCCCTCGTCGCCGCCGCCGCCGCCCTCCTCCTCCTCCTCCTCCTCCTCCTCCTCCTCCTCCTCCTCCTCCTCCTCCTCCTCCTCCTCCTCCTCCTGATCGTGATCCTCCTCCTCCTCCTCCTCCTCCACCTCCTCCTCCTCCTATTCCTCCTCCTCTTCCTCCTCCTCCGCCTCCTCCCTTCCTCCCTTCCTCCCTTCCTCCCTTCCTCCCTTCCTACCTTCCTCCCTTCATCTTCCTCCATTCCCCTTCCTCCCTTCCCTCCCTTTCCTCCCGTCCTCCTTCCTCCGTGCCTCCCTTCATCCCTGCCTCCCTTTCCTCCCTTCCTCCGCGGGCTTCCTCCCCCTCCTCCTCCTCCTCCTCCTCCTCCTCCTCCTCCTCCTCCTCCTCCTCCTCCTCCTCCTCCTCCTCCTCCCCCTCCTAGTCGCCGCTTCTGCTCCAGGAAACAAGCGACTTTGTAGGCCACCATTCCACCATGGGCGGCCCCATAAAACAACCATGAACCCCCAAGGGCCCCCTGGCCAGCCGCGATGGCCCTCTCGGCGTTGTCTCCCCTGGTGTACAACACCTTGCTCACGACAGGAGACAGACTGCTGGATATCGTGGCAGAACTGCCGACTGTACACGTACTCGGGCGTCCTGGCACTCAACGAAAGGCTCCCCAAGATTGCCCATATCAAGTCAGTATGACCCAGCAGAGAGGATATACTGAAGCAGGGTGGCATCCTGGTGGTTTCTCCAATCGTTATGCTGGTGCTGCTACCGTCCTCCCGATAGGCTGGCGACAAGAACATGTGCGTCGCGTCGAGCTTCCACCCCCACCTCTCCCAGGGCGAGGTATAGCGATTGATGCTGGGAAGGGTGGGTGGAAAATGTTCGTTGCTGTTGCTGTACTGTACTTCCCTCCGCGCCCGTGCTCGGCCGTCGGACTTAGACAGTACGTTGCGTGCTGCAAGGAGCTATCACAATGGACTATCAGACTCCTTAAAAAGCTGCCTGCTAGAGTTCATCTGGTTATGATGGCTGATGTGAAGGACGGGGTGGGACTTCGGCGGCGAGCGAGGGGGGGAACTGAGAAGGGGAAGGCCTTCTCAGAGCGCGGCGGGACCTGTCGAAGGCCTCGGGCCTTCTGAGAAGCTGGCTGTGTGCGTTCGGGGAAGGCTCAGAACACTGTTCGGAAGGCCGGGGGACCTCCGAGCCCTCTGGGAAGCCGCCCATCCTTCTCGCTCCCCCGCGGCCGCCCCCTCCTCCTTCCTTCAAGGAGGAGGGGGAGAAGGAGGGGGAGGAAGAGGAGGAGGAGGAGGAGGAAGAGGAGGAGGAGGAGGAGGAGGAGCAAGAGGAGGAGGAGGAGGAGGAGGAGGAGAGGAGGAGGGGGAGGAGGAGGAGGAGGAGGAGGATGAGGAGCCCCCCTGGGCTCGCCGCCGATTCCAGCAGGACGGCGACGCGGTGAGACGGCGCTCGGGACCGACGAGGAGGCGGCTCCGGGAGGCGGACGGCGGCGAGAGACGCGGCGGGCGCCGCGGCGCAGCGCCGCCACCAAGGGGGCGGCGCCACTGCCTCACGCCGACGTGCGGCGCGAGGCAGTGGCCAGCTCGTGGGCGGAGGCGGAGGACGGCGGAGGCGGGATAAGGGAGGCAGGAGGGAGGCGGGAGGCGGGGAGGAGGCGGGGGAGGAGGGGGGGAAGAAAAGGGGGGAGGGCGGGGGGCGGGGAGGGCAGGGGGGAGGGCGGGAGGCGGGAGGGGGCAGGAGTTACGGAGTTACGGATATTGCGACTGTGTCGGTTACGGATTAGCTTAAAGAGAACGAGCCGCTCTTCTGGCCTGATCAGCTTTGCTGTAAGCTTTAGGCCAGATCCCCCGTTCGATATTCTTCAAATAATCTACACGATTACCTGCAGGTCTGCCAACGCACCTCTTCCCGAGTTGGGCCAACTGCTGGGCCACAAAACTACCACAGGTGCCGCAGAACCATATCCCCAGCCCAGCGTGATATTGTAAACTGTGAGTCTCATCAGCCCACCCCCCACAGATGTGCACCCTGCAACGGGGGGGCGGCCTGAACACAACGCCATCTACAGCCCTCAGGTCGAAGCAGGGGGTATCCAACCAGACTTTTCTCCTAGCCTTAGTCGTTGAACTCCTACACTTCAAACATGAGAGACCGCTTTCAGACAACGTATGTGCCGTGGAAAACTCTTTGCAGACAACAGGCGCGGGTGGCCTGGGCCCAGGGTTCCTGACACGGGTCCCGCGGACTTCCTCGGCCGCCAAGGCCTGCTCGGCTTTTAAAGTTTCCAAGGTGGCGAGCAGAATTCGCATGCGGACGGCGAAAGCCATCTTCTCATTCGTGAGAACTCTGGTACGAATCGGGGCTGGGATTCTGACTGCACGTGCTGCTGCCGACGCCAACTTATCAGTGGCAGCATTTCCCACAGCCAAATACAAAGGAGCTCTGCCCTTGAGGACGTCGCACGCCTCTTGGTGAGAGTACACGAAAAGGACAGTACAGAGAAGGTTGGGTTTTCTACTGAGTACCTGGCCTACCTGATGCCACAAATCCGCGTTCTCCCCCTCTGGGGCGAATGCTCGGCCACAATACCAACCAGAGCAGACATGAGCGTTATCGGTGGTATAAATCACCACTCCATCAGCGCCGATCAACGCTGTGAGAGGACCAAAAAGCTCACCCCTGGCAACTGTTTGGACGGGTCCAGGGAGGCCACCCCACACAGAAGCAACTAGTTGCATATTATCAGAGATATCTGAATACTGCGCTAGACCACAACCTACACGCCTGAGGCGAGGGTCAGAAGTATCTTCGCCCCCGCTCGCGTCGCCGAAAAGGCAAACCGGGGCCGACTCGGAGCCCACGCCGAAGCAATCATCTTCAAACGCTTCAACGCCCTCACTCCACCAAACGGCCTCCTCTTGCGGGGGCGGAACCGCGACCCACGCCTGCGGCAGAAGACCTCTATGCCAAAAACATGGCTCGACCTCATGCTGCGTGTGGGCCCTCGGTGCATATTCATCTGACAACTTGTATATGTCGTGATCTGTGCACTTGGAACAACTCCAAATCCTATGGAAAGAAGTCTCCCTTTCAACTCTACACTTTGCACATACCTGCGAGATCGGCAACTTGGACTTCTCAGACCTGCGCTCCCGCGGCCAGGCTGCTCCCGCAGCTGCAGACAACAGGATGCCAGACAACTGCTTGCCGTTGGGCCCCCCCTCGAGCTGTCGAAGAAGGGCTCGCAGGGAAAGGTTGCAGATCCCACCTTCCATGCCTGCGCCGTCGAAATGAGTAGCCGCCTGCCGCCACAGCCTCTGCATCACCGCGCCCTCGTACTCCTGCAAGAAGGCCTTCGGGACATCAACCTTCTCATAGCCCGTCAAGGCCGCTGGGTTGAATTGCCAGTTGTGCTGCATCCCCGTGCCGTCGGGCTGGACCCTCCAATCAGCAGGACCCTCAGGTTCCCACCCTTCTTGGAGTAGATAGGTGATCACAGCAGCTTGAGGTCCCCTGACATGTCGACTACGAAGCTGGGGTTGCATCGACCGAAACTCTTGTGCCATCTGCCTCCAAGTCCTGTCGATCCCATTTCTGAGAGCTGGCTGCGAAAGCCATGTACGAATCCACATCTGCAAGCATTCCTTCGGCAAACGACAAGCAGGATCGCGCCCTGGAGCACGCAAATCAAGCACCGTCGTAACGCACCGCCCCGTGAGCCGAGGGCTGGACGCGCCACACAAGAAAGTTCGCATCTGTCGCATTCGATGACCAAAAACACCATGCACTTGATGAGCATAGGCGCCCGCAGCAGCAGCGCCTTGTTGCTCTAACCTTGCCGTCAGCCTGTAACGTCTGGCTGTACGCGCATACTTCACAACCTTCGCGTGCATCCTCCGATGACGTGAGATCCTGGCCGTCCGCGTTGCTCTGGCATGCCGCTTGCCGCCGCCGACGTCAACGCCGAGGTACGGAGTCTGCGCCGCCGCCGTCACCGCGAAACCTGAAAGCTTGAGACGTCTCACCACCTCCTTGGCGTCCGCGAGTTTAGTGCACACCACCACGCTCTTGGGGGAGATAGTGAGGCCGTCCTTCTGCATCAACATGCAGGTCTCCTTCAGGCAGGCAACAAGGCGGTCACGCACAGCTCGCCTGGATCCTTTGGACACCTGGCTCAAGTCGTCAATCCACAACCTATGGGAAAGATACACATGAGTGGTTGTAATCTTCTGCATAATAAAATATGTTACTGCTTTGGCGGAACGCGTGCCTGAACGCAAGCCCTGCACCACCGACCTGGTCGGTGCGAAGGCCTCAGAGTAGGCCCCCGATTGTCGCAGGCACCGCGCCGCCATACATTGCAGCAGCTCCAGGCCCAGCACCTCAGCTGGGAAGCCCAACCTTAGTGCCGTCAGCCCCAGCCGCAGCCACCCGATGCTGTCGTAAAAGCTGGCGATGTCCAGCAGCCCGCGGCCGTGGGCCACGCCCAGGCGGGCCGCCAGCTTCTCGTCCACCACGCGGACGAACGCCTCCTGCAGCGCCGCGTTGCCGCGGATCGCGGCGCCCCACGGCGCCTCGCACTCCTCAGTCCACGAGCGCACCCACGGCTCGCGCGCCTGGGACCAGAGGCGCGCGATGTGAGGCAGCAAGCCTATGACTCTGTCGCCCGTGACCTTTTTCGGCAACAGCGTGCCGATCGTCAAGAGCAGCTGGTGCGGCCATGCCTGGCAGGCCTCGCAGGCGGCCAAGATCACCGCGAGCTCCTCGAGCGCGATGTCGGGGAGCCGATCGGTGTCGAGCGCCGTGAGGCGATCGACTCCCATGGCCGACGTCTGCTTCATGGCTCTGCCAGCTGCCCGCAGCTGCTCCCCTGTCAGCGGTGGAAGAGGCTCCTCAGCGACGCGCGCACGGATGTCGGCGAACAGAGAGTGAAGCCCCTCCAGCTGCTGACCCTCAGGGGCCCACAGCTCTTGGAACCTCTGGCTCTTCCTGTCCATGATGTCCCTCGGGTGCTGGATGGTCTTATCACCGTCCACGAGCGAGTGAGATGCCTGCGGTACCTCTCGAATGGCCCTGTGGAGGGTGGACACCGCACTCTGAGACTCTGTCTATTCACGAAACTCGGCCAGAGACTGACTGACGGCCCGCCTCTGACTTCTCTGCGAAATACGTTCACTAAACTTGACTGCTTCAGCAAGCTCATGCGCACTCAAAGCATCAACCGAAGACAGAAGCTGCAACCAAGAAACCCACGAGATGCCGTCGTTCTGCCTGATGACCTGATGGCCTTTATCGGGAGCCTCCGAAGCCAACCTCTTACACGTCGAAACTAACAAATCTTGCTGCTTTACACCATTCTTTCTAGCCAGATGCTTGGCATATGTATCCAACACCACGTGAGCCCTGGTCCACCATCCAATGATGCGATCCCTCAAAGGTGCAATCCTGGACGGCGTCGCTTCCAAGACAGTGTCGGTACGGAACTTGGGCCCCTCAGCGCGAGATCTCCCAAGGCTGCCCTGGCCATGATGCGAGGCGAAACTGGCCTCCACTGTGCGAATCCACGCACTGAAAAGACTGCTAAGACTATCACAATGATGTGAGCCAAGGGAATGTGCTACGGAACGGACAACAGCATCAGCAGGTGGGTAGGTGCCCGCCGATATGAAGCCGACGTTTTTTCCTTTCAGCACTCCAGGTGACCTCGGCTAGCTTAAATTCAGCGTTGGATTTTAAATTCCCCTCAGACCCTGTGGGCGATGGCTCCTGCTCGTGAGACTGTTGCTCGGGGCTACTATCTGGGGGGCTCTCACGCTGGGCTGAATTACTCATTGACTGCGAGGGAAGCAGGGAGGCAGCGGGTGGGGCGGGGTCGGGTCCGAAGCTGGGCTCGAAGGCCCACGGGTCCTCTTCCTCGTTGGAATCGAACCCGTCTCCACCCAGCGGCTCGCCGACACCTGTTTCGGCTTCGCTGAGGGGGACCTGCGGACCACTCATCCCCTCCTCCTCCACGCTGGCACTCTCGACAGGAAACCACTCACGAATTCTATCATGCCGCTTTTGCTTGGCCAGTTGCTGTGCGAACCTACGCTCCACCTTAGCCCGGCTCGACTTCGAACCTTCCACAGGCTGCCTAGCTGGACTAGGCACCGATGGGAGCTGGGGTGGCAAATCCAGAAACCTAGTATACAACTGACTACCCTCTGAGATTAATTCCAGACTGAGGCCGACGCGGGGTTTCCACGGAACGTCCAGGACGGCCCTGAGCCCCAGGATATAAGGCCTAGCAGCCTCGGAACACAGAGCAAAATCTAAAAGCGAGGGTCGATTTTCACCCGATGTGCAAGTGAACTCAGCCTCAGAAGTGACGACGATGCCTGCTACCTTTTCCACGAAACCTGTTGCGCACAGCTGCGTGGGCGACATATTCCAGTCACCGATGGCAATCCATGGTAACTGTAGTGATGCAAGCAAACTGCCGATGCGACGCAGTCGGGGGACGTTGTCGCCACTGAAGCCGATCCCCGAATGTACATATATGATGCACACTACCAGCGAAAACCCCCGCATATGCAATAACACAGGTAGGAACCCATCAAACGCTGCACATCGATCATGACGAAGGGCAGGGGAATTACGAGCAGCATCAAGAACCTGAGCAGGGCGATGGTTACGAACCAACATCCACTCACCTCCTTCATTCGCTCGAGCTTCCTGATCTGGGTGTGCCTGCTTCCATCTACTCTTGGCTCTGGCGCTATTGGCCAGCAACTTCAAACCTGCAGCACGTGCCTTGGGCGTCCACTTACCTAGGTCCCGCTGATGCACATGTGTCTCGCACGCGGTGACGTAGTCGTGCGTCCGTGCCGTCTGACAAAGATATCCCCATGCTTTGTCCCCCATGCACGTTGTGTTGCCGAAGAAAAGTTTGGTCGATGACGAAACCGATGCAGTAGTGCTGGTTCCAGTACTGGTCGCACTGCAGCTCCCCGATGACGACGTTGAAGCACCAGTGCCTGAAGGACTGCTGCTGCCCGTAGTGGTCGTCTCCATGGACGACTCCCGCAGCGGAGCTGTCGCAGCCCCTAGTCACAGCTCCTCGTTGTCCGCGTCGGGGACCCTGACGTCGCCACCCTTTCCGCCGCCGCTGCTGCCCTTGCCCTTCTCCACGGCCTTCGCCGCGTCGAACCTGGCCTTGGAGATGGCGGCAGCAGCCTCCTTGACCTGAGCCTCCGTCGGCGCCGAAGCCGTGCCAGTGGCGCCCGTGGGAGCACCAGCCGCGTGCGAGGCACTCGCAGCCGCAGCTGGAGCTGCAGCGCCAGGCTGTGGCGCCGCAGCCACTCCCTCAGGGCCTCCAGCAGCCGCAGTAGGAGGTACGCCCTGACCACCTCCATCACCCGCGACGGCTCCTTCATCAGCTCCTGCTGTGCGCCTCTTCTTGTTCATGCTCATGCGCTCCACGACCTCCTTCTCGAACTTGTCGACCTTCTCGAGGAAAGCACGTACCTGGACGTCCTTGGACTCGAAAGCCGAACGATACTGATCAAGTTCACGCTTTAACTCTCTCAACTGCTCCTTGTCGCTCTCCTCGCAATCCCAGCTCTCAAACTGGTCGGAGATCGCCGAGTTGATGCGCAGCTCGAATGCAGGCATCTGACCACCAGAGGCGGCCGTGGACTGCGTGGCCTGCACTCCCTCGGCTTTCGCCAAGGCCTCGGCCGCTCGCTTCTTGTGGATCTCGGCGAGCGCCAAGTCCTCAGCTGCTTTCTGTTCCTTGCTCTCCGCCACCTGCAACTGCTTCCTCAAGCGCAGGACCTGCGTCACCGTCTGCTCGTGGCGGTGAGACGCCGCGCGCCAGGCTCCATCGGCCTTGCGCACGGTCTCGGCCTCCGAGACGGGTTGCTCCTGCTGCACCTTCAGCTGCAGCCGCTCCTGCTGGGCCGCCAGCGCCGACTTCAACAAGATGTCGTCGGACGCCTCGGCAGCCTCCTTCAAGAGCGCCTGCACTGCCGCATACTGTTTGGCCTTGGCACCAGCCTCGCCCTTGCCTCCGCGTTTGGGGCTGGGGCTGCGCGGCCGGCCTGCGTGAGCCTTGCCAGACCCCGCAACGGTGCCGCCGTCGTCCTGCAACTCGATCTGCTCCACGCGCTCGTCGAAAGAGACGCTGGGCGCCCTCGGCACGTAGAGGCGGATCTTCTTGCTGCATGTGGGGCACTTGCCCCCTGATGCGGCCAACCTGTCATTGTACTCACACGTCTTGCAATGCGCGCACCGACTCCACGGTCGAGAGGGCCTCCCCCGACTGGCTGGACGGGCTGGGCGCGCCACATCTGCTGTCATCCCTGCTTTCGTTAACCTGGCGAGTGTGGGCTGGATTCGCAAGGCTATCCCTCAAGCACCCCGATGAAGGTACAGGGATCGGGCTCTGGCAAAATGCTCGAGCCCAATTGGCTTGAGCGGGAGGGGGCAGGAGGCGGCAGGGCGTGCAGGGAGCGGCGGCGGCTCGCGCTCCTCGTAGTTCGAGAAGTCGTTCTCGCTGCTCATCTTCGGCTTGTAGGGCGCTGGGACCTCGAAGAGACAAGAGGGCCCCCTCTCCTCCTTCCTCCTGTTCATCCTTCTGATCATCCTCCTCATGCTCATCATCATCAACAACAACATCATCATCGTCGTCATCAGCATCAGCATCAGCATCAGCATCACCATCATCCTCATCCTCATCCTCATCCTCATCATCATCATCATCATCATCATCATCATCATCATCATCATCATCATCATCATCATCATCATCGTCATCGTCATCATCATCATCATCATCATCATCATCATCGTCATCAGCATCGTCATCATCATCATCGTCATCATCATCGTCATCATCATCAGAATCATCATCCTTATCATCCTCATCATCCTCATCATCCTCATCATCATAATCATCATCAACATCATCAGCAGCAGCATCATCGCCATCGTCATCGTCATCGCCATCGTCAACGCCATCGTCATCATCGCCATCCTCATCGTCATCGTCGTCGTCATCCTAATCATCATCCTCATCACCATCATCAGAAACAACACAATCAACAGAAGTTTCATTATCGTAATCGTCATCTTCGCAATGATCAGTATAAGGTATTCAATCACCACGAACAGCATCATCATTAGCATAACCATCATCGCCATCGGCAACAATACCTATCCTCGCTGTCAGCATCGTTCTCACAACCATCACATCCATGCCCCACAACTTCTCCTTTGCCACCTTATTCACCTCCTCCTCCCCCCTTTTCCAATGCATCCTCATCCGCCTCCTCCTCCGCCTCCTCCCATCATAACCACCACACGAACATCACCATCCTGTCCTCGCCGGCTTTCAGGATCCTGCCGCCTTGTACTCCTCCAGCTCGGCTAAGTTAAGGGAGGCGAACCACGGGTGCTTCAGGACGTCCTGGGGCCCGTCCTTCAGGTTGCCGTAGCGCTTGCTGAGGTCAGCCGTCAGCAGCTTCTTCACGAGTGCCTTGGCGTTCTTGTCGAAGTACTTCGGGAAATACACCTTGCCTTGACAGGAGAATCGTGTTTCTTCCCGCCCAGGAGTGCCGAGAAACACGCACGTGTGTACATGTAAACATGCAAAAATTCAATATGGTGCACACGCGCATTTACATATGTGTGTATGTGTACATACATGCATGCATACATACATACAGCGGGTCCGTGTCGTGCCGACTTCGGCGCTGGTACCTGAAACCGCGGGGATTGTTCAATCTTGAACGATCGACCATTTACGAAACGTCAACTCGTTCAGCATCGATCAATTATTGGTCGCCAGCGGCGTTCAACGTTGAAAGCCGGCAGCGGGGTCGCCGCCTTCGACAGGACGCGAACCTACTGTGTATTTATATATACTTACAAATAAATTCACGTACATACATAAATGCATACATGCATGCATACATACACATAGCTATGTGTACACATACATGCCTACATACGTACACACATGCATTCTGTACATACATACATAACATGCATGCATGCGTGCATACATACATACGTACATCCGTACATATAGACATGCACACGCAAGCATACACGCATACATACGTGAGTATATATATACATATATGTTCACAGACATGCACACATACACACACACACCTTATATTACATACACTACACTACATTACAGCACACTGTATAACAACAAATTACCGTGTATTCCACTATTTTGCATTACATCACAATCAATGACAAACATACATACATATATACACATACATACATGCATACATACATACCTGCGTACATGCATGCATGCATGCTTGCATGCATTCATACGTACATGCATACATACATACCTACATGCACGCATGTATGCGTGCATGCATGCATCCACACGTGCATACACGTTTTGATGCATACACCTGCAAATCTACCTATATGTATATATACATGTACTAGAACCATCGCGCGCGCTTCGCGCGCGCTAAGGTTCTAACAGGTCCCAGGCCTTGACGAGTTTACTGCTCCACTGAAGTGGTGGACCACAAATGGTTTGAGAAGTCCATGCATGTCAATCCGCATTCCGGAAGGCTTTCGGGGAAGATGGTTGCGAAGGGGGGCGGAGGCCTGATGATTCGGGTTCCCAGAAGGCCTTCTGGGGACATGGGTTTGGGGGGCGTCTTGGGGAGCCTGTTGGGGCGTGCCGTCGTCGTCGTCGTAATGTCATCGTCGCCTTTTTGGGGGCGCCGTCGTCGTCCTCGCCGTCCTCGTCGTCGTCGTCGTCGTCGTTTCGTCGTCTTCGTCGTCGTCGTCGGTTCAAGAGGGCACTTGGGGCAACTTTGTGTGAAACGATCCGCGGAGGACCACGAGAAGGCGATCAGTCATGTTCCCAGTAAAATTCCAAGACAGCTCTCCCGTAGCGTGATGGTACTTCGGAGCCTCCGGAGACTCCCAGGCCCATGATGAACCATGTCCCTGGAAGGCTTTCTGGGAGCATGATTTGTTGAGGCGTGTTGGGGGGCCTCGTAGGCGTTCCCTGGGGGCCCCTTGGGAGCCTCCTGGAGCTTCCTGGGGGCCTCTTGGGCGCCTCACGGGGCTTCGTGGGAGCCTCTTGGTGGCCTCTGGGGGGCTACTAGGGACCTCTAGGGCAAGAGACCTCGAAATATCGGTTCGCGGTTTCCCTCTGGGCCCCCTCCCTCTTGGGGCGCTATTGGGGCACACTTGGGTTGTCTGGGGGGCCTCCTGGGCCGTCTTGGGGCGCTCTTCGGGGCCTCGTGGGCCGTCTTGGAGCGATCTGAAGGGCCTCCGAGCCTCCGAGGCCGTGAGGGAGCGCTGGGAAGCGGGAAAAGCGAGAACGCCAAAATCCTTCGAAACGTTCGGAATATAAACGACCTTTGCCTCTCAGGGCCTCGGGGAGCCTCTTGAGTCCGTCCTGGAGCGTGTTGGCGTCCTCGTCGGCCGTCTGGAGGGCATCTGGGGCGTCCTCGAGGCCTCTTGGGACCGTCTTGGGTCATCTTCGGACCCCCTTCGTCTGTCGTGGCCTGTTTCGGGGCGGGCCCGAGCTCTGGGACCCCCCCCAGAAAACCCCGGGGAGCGCCCGTGGAACGTACAGGCAGCGGCCGGACCCCCCCCCCCCAACCTACTCCTCCTCCGAAATACATGATATGTTTATATATAGATATACACATATATATATATATATATATATATATGCTTCTCTCACCTGTTTTTGTGCACTCCGCCAGGGAGCTTGTCAGGCCAGGACCTCTGGGGCTACTCAGGGGTCATTCCAGGAGTTGGGAGAGGTCCCGTCCCTTCAGCGGCATCCAAGGGCCTCCCAACCCGCCTGGCACAGCCGTGGCGCTTAAGCACTTAAGCACCCGCGCTGCGTCCCAGACGCGCTGACACACTTGCACCGCCGGGAGGTTAAACGTCACCAACCCCTGAACCCCCTAGCTCTCTCGTCCTGGCAAATACTCGCGCGGAGGCAGGCACGGCCACGCGCGAGACGGTAGCAATGCTGCCCCCTGTCTGTGGGTGGGCCAACACAGCTACGGAAGATGGATGAAACTCAACCGTTATCCATCAACGGCGTCGCGCACGCTCAGGTGGACTCCGCATAGGTTTCCTTGGAAGGTTCATATATGCTTCTCTCACCTGTTTTTGTGCACTCCGCCAGGGAGCTTGTCAGGCCAGGACCTCTGGGGGCTACTCAGGGGTCATTCCAGGAGTTGGGAGAGGTCCCGTCCCTTCAGCGGCATCCAAGGGCCTCCCAACCCGCCTGGCACAGCCGTGGCGCTTAAGCACCCGCGCTGCGTCCCAGACGCGCTGACACCCTTGCACCGCCGGGAGGTTACACGTCACCAACCCCTGAACCCCCTAGCTCTCTCCACGGTCCCTACTCTGGCAAAAGCCGCTCCCTCTTGCTCTTACTTATGCCCTCCACCTCGTTGTAATGAAATGAGGGAAGAAAGGTGGAGGATGGGCGGGACAGACAGACAGGCAGTACAAAGCAAGAAAAGTTCATCTCGCTTCTGCTCGCAGGCGGGACGCGAGCAGGCCGCAGCGCTTCCGCTGCGCGGGCGAGAGATTTAATTGAGTGGCCTCGGCGACGGCATCCTGGACATACAAGCGGGCCGTGCGCGCCGAGGCCCATCTGCCTCGGAGCAGCGTCTGCTCCATGGAGCCATGGCTGCGGAAGTCGGCGGAGGCGCCGCCCCTCCGCCAGCTGTAGAGGGTGAGCTTAGCATCCTGCAGTTCCAGCAGCTCACGCACTCGGCTGAAAGTGTTCATGAAACTGTTTGGCTCCATTCCGAGGCACAAGTCCTGTCCGTGCGCCTGAGCCTTTGCTCTAGCAAGGAGGGCGACCGCTACACCACTCCGCACGAGCACGAACTCTCGGGCACCAGTCTGATGCTGGCTCTTGGCGTTGCGCAGCTGCAGCACGGCCATTCGTCGGAGTGGGTACAGCTGTACATCGGACCACACGAGCGAGGTCATCTCACCCGTCCGGAGGAAAGCATCGTAGCCCGCAGCCAGCACCGCCGCAGCACCGAGCTGGCCTACGGCTGCAAATGCACCAGCGAATGCTGCCGCGATCAGCGGACCAATCGGCAGCGCCCGCCCAGCTGGCTCCAGCGTTGCCACGTCTTGGCCAAGCGCCAGCTGTCCCGCAGGTGCCCTCGCACGGGCGGGAAAGCGTGCGTGATGCCAGCAATAGCATTATTAACTTCGAACAAAGATCCTCCGCTCAGCCAGCGGCTCTCAATGAAGGCGGCCACGCCAGCGTCGACCTGAGCGGGCGTCTGCGGCTGCCGGTGCTCCTGGATCCAGAAATCAACGACTTCATCGACTGCCGCACGGTACCGCTGCAGGGTGAGTGGCGTGACCATCGCCTCCCTCAGCGGTTGGGATCTCGCTGCAGCTCGTCGCGCCATCGCCTGAGCTGTGACCCGGCTCACCTTTGCCGCTGCTTGTGCTGCACGCTTGCTGGGGGCGGCCCTCCTGGCCCTTGTTGGCGGCCGCACTGGGAGCGAGGCAGCGGCGGCCGAAGCTCCAGCGGGACGGCGTGTCGGCGGGCATGTCGTCGGCGTCGCAGTAGCCGTACAGCGGGTACCCTGCCGTCGCGAGGAGGAGGGCGTTGAGACGGCGGAGCGCGGGCTGCAAAGCCCTCGCGCTCGATCTGCCCTTGGTGCTGACTGCCGCGATCGCTTGGGCATCCAGTATGTGCAGGTAGCGGCAGCGGTGGTTCTCAACCGCTCGGCACCTCCAGCGCGCTCCAGCCACTGCAGCCTCCAGCTCCAGCGCCGAGATGTGCCCGGGCCGCTGCCAGCGAAACCCTTTGGCGATCCGCCAGGCCCAGAGGTGCGTACGGAGAGCTGCCCGCGGCCACGCGCGGGCTCGGTAGGGTGCCCCGGCGTCAAGCCGGACGTCCGTGCCCCCGCGGTCCGCGACCCTCAGGAACTCCACGATCAGGCTGCGTTCCAACCGCGGGTCGCGATGTCCCGGCTGCTGGAAGTCGGGGACCACGTTCCAGTTCGCCTCGCACGTGCCCACAGCGAGGCAGCTGCTGCCCGGGATGGCGGCCGCTAGCGCCCCCACCTGAGCGAGCCACGAGCCGAGAAGATACATGACAGCCTGGACGCAGAACGTATTCCCGATCAGAGACTCAATGACGCTGTCACGCTCGGCGGCAGGTGCACTATCTTTTACAGCGGCCTGGAAATAGAGACGGTCGAACCCCATCAGGGCAGCACGCTCCTCAGGCACGGGCAGCCGGCCCCGCTCACGCCTTGCATCCCAGATGAGGCTGCCGTCCTCGTAGTTGTTGACCTGGTAACGGTAGCTGTCGGCAGCCCAGCGCTCTGCAGCCCTCACCGAGGCGCGGTCGAGGCCCACGGGCCGAAACGGCGGGTGACTCCGCGGGATCGGCCTCGTGAAACAAGGGAGGTCTGCCTCAGGGTCCAGCGTCGACCAGCCCTCCAGGAGCGAGGCACTCAGTGGGAGCCTCTCCACCGCAAGCGAGACCTTGAAGTACGTGGCTTCACCCACACCCTTGGTCTCGACGGTGGCGTCGGACGCCAAGAACGCCGTAACGGGCCACGAGCACCAGTACAGGCGGGGCCGCCTGACGTGAGTGAGACACCTGGCATCGAGGAACACGGGTGTGACGCCAAGCGCCCTGGTGAACTCCGCCCTCGACTCTAAGGTCATGCTGAACACGTTCTCGACGAACCACATGGTGCGCTTGGGAAAGGCAGCCTCTGCTGCCTGGATCAGCTCGGGGACCCGGAAGAAGAGCCTCGACCTCGACCCCTCCAGGCCGGTCCCCACGACATTGATGCTCGCCAGGTCTTGGCACGGGCTCCCCGCGGTCAGGACGACCCAGTCGGCGTCCCGCGCGTAGCCCTTCAGCATCTCAGTAAACCGCGCCGTGTCGACGGCCTCGATGTTGCCAAGCTCGATCACGCCCGCCCAGCGGCGACGCACCAGTCGCCGGGCGGCGGGCTCGACCTCGCAGCTGACATGGGCCATCACGTCGATCGGGAGTCTGGAGGCCGCCACCGCGGCCCCCGCGGCGCCAGCGAAGAGCTCGATGAGAACTATGCGAGGGCGCCACCGCACACCCCGCACAGGGGCCGCAACTGCACCAGGCCGCAACGTCACCGCCGAAGCTCCCCCTCTCGCGCACGCAACGCCCTGCGCCGAGAGCCCGGCCGTGTGGCAGATGCCCCCGGCGCGCTCGCTGGCATCGGTCGCTATGACACAAGTGTCGATCTTCGCGCGCAGGTCAGTGTAGGCCAGCGGCAGCGCCATCGCGAAGCCCAAGAGCTCGTCGCACATGCCAAGGGGAACAGTCTGCGGACGCGTCCAGCGTCCAGCAGCCCACACGCTGTTGAGGAATCCCATGAAAGGCCTCCTGAACTCCGCTGCCCTGGCGCACCTGCCTAGGATCATGAGCATGCCCTGTGACGAGAGGCCCTGCCTGCCCATGCCCCACAGGATGAACGCCAGCAGCTGGTGCAGCTTCTCGGTCGTGACTCCGACCCGGCCGACGGCCCCGTCAAGACCCGCGCCCATCCGCTCCAGGACCAGCGCGCGGTGCTTGGCCTTGCCGGGGGCGACGCTGATCCCCGAGCGGCCGTAGGCGGCCCTCTGCTCCTCCTGCGCGCAGCTCATCGTGCCGAGGAGCTCCGCGACCATCGCGTTGGGCACCACCTCGCCATGGTCCCAGTCGTCGATGTAGTACTGGATCCACTGCTGCTCGAGCTCCTTCGACTTGAACGGAAGCGGCCGGTCCTTGCGCCACTCGAGCTCTGCGGGAAACCCCGCAGCGAGGGGGCGAGAGCCGAACCCGAGGCGCCTGTGGCAGTGCTGAAACACCGTGACCGCGTTGATCCAGCCCATCGGGATGACGCGCAGCGCGAGGTGAGTCTTCCCAGGACCCGGCACACCGATGAGCTCGTTCGGGATCGCCTCCGCGAGGGTCATGTATGGCTGCCAGGCCTCGGGCAGCTCGTAGCAGTAGAAAGCGGAGGCTTGGTCATCCGAGGACCAGAGCAGCATGTGGCCCTCTGGGAGCGGGATGGCGACCCACGAGGGCGACGCGCTAAGGGTCCCGATGTCATCCCTCATGATGCGCTGGTAGCTGTTGGCCGGGACCATGTTGATGATTAACCGCTGGACGCACGCCTGCCCAGGTGACGGCGTGCCTCCCTTGGCGACCCCGAACGCCCCCGCAAGCACCTTGCGGTTCCCGACCTTGAAGATGCGGTCGTCGGCGATCGGCGCCGCCAGCCCCAGCTCGACGAGCTTGGTCCCGATGCGGTACCACTCCTGCTTGGACGTGACCTGGATCGCTGCCCGCGGGACCTCTGCAGGCCACCCATCTCGTGGGAGCAAAGCCAGCGTGGGGTCGGCAAGCCAGGCGCCCACCTGAGCGTCCGCGATGTCGACCGCCTTGACCGAGGCGGCAACGCCGCGCGCGGGGAGGCCTGGCATGATGCCCGCGAGCGAGAGCGGCAAGGCGCGGGCCGTCTCCTCGCCCCCGTAGGAGACGGTCCTCGACGAGATGACCCGGTCCCAGTCCGGGAGCTCGAAGGCTGCGGCGGCATCCTGAACGAAATACTCACAGGCCTCCTGCACAATGCCGAGCGCACTAACCTGGCTAGCCGTGGGCCGCCTCGCGGCGACGGTGGGACTACGCATGTGCCCCGTGTACTGGTAGTTCAGGCTGAAGACCACGAGCTGGGCCCACCCCTGCGCCGTGGCGGCGTCCACCTCGCAGGTCTCCGGCAGCTGCTGGTGCAGGTACCAGGCGGCGCGGTACCTCTCGAAGAGTGGGGCGTCGGGCAGTGGTAACGGCAACACCTCGCGCAGCCGCGCGAAGCTGGCCGTGGGGTCTGGCGAAGTGCACATCTTACGAACGTACCGCCCGATCGCCCCTGGCGAGCCGTGCACCGCCTCGTGGACTGCGAGGGCCAGCCTGAACTTGGAGCTGACGCCCGTGCCCACCTCGGCTAGCATCTGGCGCCACCGCCGAGCCTGCGAACTGCCGCGTAGCTGCCGCTCAGGCGGGCGGAGGGCAGGCGGGGGCGTGCCGTGGGCCGCGGCCTTAGCCGTGTCGGCCCTCACGCTCGAACCCAGGCCGTCCTGCGAGCAGTGCCCGTGCCGCGGCTCTTCCCCGTCTTGCCTTTGCCGCGGCTCTTGGCAGCCAGCGGCCTCTCGATGCGCGCCTTCCACGCTGCCTGGGTCTCGCCCTCGCGCCTCGGGTGGGCCGCCTTGTGCTGCGCGAAGCTCCGGCTCGCCGCCGCCTCCGCTGGTGGCACGCGGGCGGCGGCTGCTGCGTCGAGGTCCCCCTCCGAGTCGCTCAGGAGCTGGACTGACCGCGTGGAACTGCGGCTGGTCCTCCGCGCCGCTGGCGGCTTCTTCTCGGCGGGGGGAGCTGCGGGACCGTCGCCTGGAACGCGTCCGGCAAGGATCCTCATCGCCTCGGCCGATCCCGAGACTGGCGTCCCGGTAGCAGGGGGCGGGGGGCGCGCCTCCGCGTGCCCATGGCCTGCAGGTGCCGTCCCCCCCTGCAACGGAGACGGCTCCCGGCCAGACCCCTAGCCCGGCCTGCGGTCTGCAAGCCGCTGGCGGAGTTCGGCGACCTTCAGCTCCCGGGCCTCGACCTTCTCGGCGGCGTTCTCCTCGTCCAGAGAGGCGCCTGATGGAAGCTGTTCCTGTGCGACCAGCGTGAGCCACCGTGCTGACCGCCAGTTCCCGTCGCGGATGGCCATCGTCCGCGCCTTGAACTCCTGCATGAGCAGATCCGCAGTCTCGACGACCTCTCCGCGCAGGATGCCGTCGAGCGCCAGCCCCAGCGCGCGGAGGACCCGCACCTCGTCTGTCCCCAGCGTGCGCGGCGGGTGAGCAACGAAGAACACCGTGTTCAGGAACTGCGTGACGCATGGGGCCAGAGGGTCGGCTTCGCCCGCGGACAGCTGCTGGGTGAACTGGCTGCGCAGGTGGCCCAGCCCATTCTCGAGGAGAGCACCAGGCCGCTGCCGAGCGATCCTGCGGAACAAGTCGCGCTTGATGTTCACGCCCTGGTAGCGATCGCGGCCCCCGAGGCGCTCCGTGTCGCTCTCCGCGCCGTCCTCCGCGTCGTCGTCGTCGCGCCCCAGGAGCGCAGCGGTCAACGCTGACGCCAGCCTGCTCTTCGATCCCGAGGCGCTGGCGCGCGCAGGGGCAGCAGCGGCGGCTCGGCCAGCTACCACCTGCGCCAGGCGCTCGCCCACGGCCCCTGCTGGGCGCGCGGCATTCTTGGGCGTGCCCTGCCTCGGCCCACCACGAGCTGCCTTGCCCCCGAGCCGCGCCAGCCGCGCCTCGAGCTCGGGGTCCTCGGCGGTCTCCTCGAGCCCAGCAAGCTCCTGGTCGAGCGGGCTCGTATCTCCTGGTCCGCCAGGGGTCTGGGTGCCCTCCACCTCGCGGGCTCGCTTGCGCGGTGGCCCGCGAGGCTCCTCCTCGTCCTCGTTGGCCCCGTCCCCGAGCGGCCATCCGCCGAGCTCTCCAGGCATCGGCTCGGCCGAGGGCGCGTCGGCCAGCACAGGCGCTCCAGGGTCCGCGGCCGGGCAGATGAGCTTCGCCTGCTCGCGGGCCACATCGCGGGGGTCCACCACCTGCCACACGTCCAAGTGCTCGACTACTGCGCCCACTGGGGCGACCGCCCCGCACTCGGCGGCGCTGCACTTGCAGAGGTGGAAGACCGTGGCCAGGGGGCGCGCGCCCTGCTGCCCGGAGGAGGCTGCATACCATGAGAAGTCCGGGTCGCTGGCGCCCACGTGCCGCCCCTTGAAGAAACGGCCGAAGGCGTCCGCTTGGTAGGCGACCTCCACTTCGAGCATCTCGACGCCCTGCGGCGCCCCGTCGTCGTCCTTGACGCGCGCCAGGACCCGTGCACCAGCCCACAGCGGCAGCCCCGGCACCAGGTCGCCGTTCAGCGCCGCGTCGAGCCAGGCCCCTCTCGGGAAGGGCCACCCGGCGGCACCCGGGGCTGCCCGCTCCATCGGGCTCCTCGCCCGCAGCGGCGCGGGAGAGGGGCGACCCGCGCCCGGGATCCTCGTCTCCCAGCCAGGTCTTCGCTCCCCTCAGCCCGCAAAGTCTGCCAGCGAGGCTGATCAGAATCAGTCGTCCGAGCGTGGCCTGCACGCGGCCGCGCTCGGCGCGGCGAACTTTCAGTAGACAGAGTGGCTCGGCAGCGGCCACAGACGGGCGGCACCGCCCGGTGACTCCGCTGCCTGTCTCGAGCCAACACAGCTACGGCAGATGGATGAAACTCAACCGTTATCCATCAACGGCGTCGCGCACGCTCAGGTGGACTCCGCATAGGTTTCCTTGGAAGGTTCATATATGTGTGTATATATATATATATATATATATATATGAATAGCCCCCCCCCGGCCTCGGCCGGCCCAGCCCGCCACAATTCAGGAGGAGGAGGAGGGGGAGGAGGAGGAGGGGTCTGAGGAGGCGGGCGCCTGCCAGAATCTTCTGGTAGATGCCCATCGGGTCCTCGTCGCAGAACGGCGGCTGGCCGCAGATCATCTCGTAGATAAGGATGCCCAGCGTCCACCTTCAGGACAGCGGCCAGAGGCGAGAGGAGAGATGAGGGAAGATGATCTATGTGGGGAAGGAGGAGGAAGGAGGCAGGATAAGGAGGCGGAGGAGGAGGAAGAAGGAGGGGAGGGAGGGAGGGAGGGAGGGAGGGAGGATGAGGAGCCTGGACGCGGAACGCCCCCGCAGAGCCGCTAGGCGCGCCAGGCCCACGGGCGGTGAGGAAGCGGAACGGCAGCAGAGGGAGCAGGAGGAGCAGCAGCAAGAGCAGGAGGAGGAGGCTTCCCGAGACACAAGACACAAGGGCACCCTTGAGGAAGAGGCTTCCCCGTGAAGACACAAGACACAAGGGCTTCCCAGGAGGAAGAGGGAGCAGGAGGAGCAGGACACAAGACACAAAGGCACCCTTGAGCAGCAGCAAGAGCAGGCTTTCGCGCCCAACCAAACGAACTCTCCCCCCCCCCCCGACCTTCCGCCCTTGCTTGGCGGCCACTGGCCTCTGCGCCGCGTGCAGTGATCCTGGCGCTCAGTTCGCCAGGCGGGAGGCAAGATCAGCCACAGCGCTTCCTGGCACGCTGAGGCGCTGTGAAGAATGCCAAGTGTCGCCTGGAAGGGTTTCTGGCGTCTTCTGAAGGGCCCACCCGCCCCTCACGTCGCGCAGAATCGGGTCCACCACCCCTGCTCCTGGGGGTCCTTAGGCGGCCATGGCGTCTCCCCCTAGGGGCCACGAACCACTGCCACAACGGGCGAAGCAGGCGATCAGAGCCGCCAAGACGGCCGAACATGCCGCCAAAACGGCCCGGGTTGGCTCGAAGACGGCCCATGATGGCCTCATGACGGCCCGCATTTGCCGCAAGATAGCTCAAAGAGGCGCCACGACGGCTCCGGATCATCCAAGGGGAGCCTCAAGAAAGCCCGTCGAGGTGAAGGTTTTCCGTCCGTGTTTCACTGGTTCAGCTTATCACGCTTCTTCCGTCAGCTCAAGACGGCCCAGGAGGCCTTCACGATCGCGCCTAGAGGACCCATGAGAGCTCCAGCATGAGTTCACACGCGTCGCAAACGGCCCCAAGAAGCCCAAGTGGGCGCATAGACTGATCTGGGGCATCTTGGGTGGGTTTGACGTCCTCCTGAGGGGTCACGATGGCTGCTAAGACACACAGAGAGGGTTCTCAACGGTCCCACACTCCACACACACACACACACTCCCAACACAAACACACACATATATATAATATTATATATATATATACGATTCCCCACGGTTCCCCGCGGTCCCCCACGGCCCCCCACGCGCTTCTGAACGGCTTCCCGCGGGCCTACTCGCTTTTCCAGTCCCCCGCAGGTCCCCGCGCTTCCCCACGCTCCCCAATGAGCCCACGCGTTTCCCCACGCCTTCCCGCGAGTCCACGCGCTTCCCCGCAATTCCTCACCGGCCCACGGTTCTCCGCAAGTCCACGGGCTTCCACACACTTCCCCACGGGTCCACACGCTTCACCACGCTTCCCCACGGTTCACCGCGGGCCCACGCGTTTCCCAACGCTCCCCCGCGGTTCCCCCCAAGTCCACGCAGTTCCCCACGCTCCCCACACGGTTCCCCGCGAGTCCACGCGCGTCCCCACGCTTCCCCACGGGCCCCACAAGTTCATGAACTTGCCCACGCTTTTCCACGGGCCCCACGGGCCCACGCGTTTCCCAACGCTTCCCCTCGGGCCCACGCACTTCCCCACGTCCCCCAACGGTTCTCAACGGTTCCTGACTGCGTTCCACTTGCCCACGCGTTTCCAGCGCAGTTGAAAATGACGACGAACAACGCAAGGCGCGCAGTGGTCGCTAAAACTTCGCCCCAGTCGCATGTGGAGGACGCGCGTCGCCCCCTCAGGACGGGCGCGGTCGCCTCGCAGACTGCACCTCGCCGCCCCAGCGCATCGAAAACCCAGTTCCCCGAGCGGCCAGCGGCAGTCCGAGGGGGCAGCCCGCGACCAGCGCGCGGCGCCTCCCCCCCATCCACCCCGAGAAGTGCGCGCCGCCCCCCCCCACCCCAAGAAGCAACGCTGACAGGGACGAGC